CACGCTTGTCGACACTGAGCCTAGTGAGGGGAGCATGGGGCACAGTAGCATGACCGCCGGCACACGCCCCATTCACCCCGGCTGCATGCACACCTGGTGAGGTGAGCCCGGGGGGTTTCCCCCTGCCCAGCGCAAAGCCGGGGCCTCTGCCTGGGCCGCGCTGCGGGCCCAGGTAGATGTCCGGTGCAGGGACGAGGTCCGCGCTGCACAAGAGGTCGCTGCAGGGTGGGGGCGAGAGTGGACGGGGGTTGGCGCGATTCAGGAGCTGGCTTGAGGCAGCAGCATGCACACCCACACGGCGAACAGGAGCGCATGGAGCGTGGAGCAGTACCTGACGTCCACAGGTTTCAATCCCCGGGGGAAGCTCACGCAGACGCTCTTCACGGCCATGATCTCATCCCTGTGATGTCAAGGGAAGCTGCTTTGGGGTCCTGTGGGCGGGAACGAGGCCGGGCGCAACCCATGCACACCCACCTTGTGTATTTCGTCTTGCTTGATCCCGCATCCGCCATGTCGCTGAAGGAAAAAGCGCTGAGAGTCACGATGTCGGTTCAAACTATGCCAAAAGTGCTTAAATGTGTGAGCGAGGACCTCGGTGGCGCTGCAAGGCTCTGGTTGCATGCGCAGAGCAGTGGTGCGGTGTGATCAGCGGTACGGACCTGCGAACCCTCCCTGTGACAAGGTCGAGAGACTCTTCCTGCTCAGATCCTTACGGCCGAACTAATGACACATGTTCAAGGAAAGTGCAAGGCGGGATGGCTTGTGTGTTGTTTGCAACAATTAGCTCACTTGCTCTCTCGCGGAGGAAAGCACCGGGGGGTGAAGGGGAAAACTAGATTCTGGGCGATGCACAGAGTGGCAAAGAGGGAGGGGAAAGGATTCAAGGATACAAATTGCAAGTTGTACTTATACAATCCAAGTGTGGTCTGTGCTGTCAAAATGTTTGCGCTGGGCAATTGAGTGCATTATGATGTTGAGCTTAGCATCATGACAATTTTGTGCCTGCAGGAACACCTCGAGGGCTCTGCCCATCTGGATGCAGCTTGATATTCCTTGTAATGGAACTCTAGCTCTCAGCAAGGAGCACGCCGATTGAGGGAATGTCGCCATGCATACTTGGTATGGTCCCAATGGCAAGAGTCCCATCCCATGACAGGAGCATTGCATAGTAGCCCGCCCAAGATCCTATCATTTTGACTGACGTTCACGAGCTATTGACTTTATGGTTTGACCGAAAACATGTCCAGATCGCGTGGAAGCCGTCCTTCACCTCAGCATACGCAGCATGCATAGTAGGTGGCACACGCAGAGACCCACCATCGCGCTCTCGCATCGTATCAATCGACGGGGAGCTTGCCGAAGTTCCCTTCCCCCGGCTGCGCACTGCACATTTTCATCAAGTCATACCTCCGGCCGTACTGCGTGTGGTGGGCGCGAGACCCATGTCGGCAATGCATGCCGTGGCCTCGAGGCCCTCTGCCCTGTCTCCACTGGTTCCTAGAACGCAGCGCCATGCTGGAGCTCGCCGATCATCCGTCGCCACTCAGGCCTCTCAGAAGCCGCCCATCATGGTCAACAGCTGCAGTGGCAAGGTGGGAGTGGGAGACTGCACAGCGGGGCGTTAAGTGCCCCTTCGACGATGCAAATCTCGTCTGTGAGGTTCACAACAAGCCTTCCTGACAGCTGCTCACGATGCATGGCTCCGGCTGCAGATGGGCCATGCTGCTGCTGAGGCCGCAGTGCGGGCAGGGTTGACCCTGGTGCCCTTCTCCTATGGGGGCCCCACCGAGAGCGGCCGCGCGGTGGATGTGGGCGGCGTGCAAGTGACTCTGGTGCACCCCGATGAGAAGCTGGACGTCCTGCACAGGGTGGGCCTGGAATGCCGGCTGTGCGCCCGGGTGTACACCATCCATGGAGCCTGGCCTGGCAATGTGCATACAAGCTGTACCTTCTACCCTGGCCAGGTGAGTTGAGGGTTGACGCTGATCCCATACCATCCCACCAATTCTTTGCTGCAGGTCAGGGAGGAATACCCCGGCACCGTCATGGTGGACTACACCCTGCCCTCAGTCGTGAACGGTGAGCGGCAGTTGTGGAGTCTGGATGTGCTTGTGCGCGAGCTATCTAGGCTGACCCAAGGCCCCTGCGCATGTGACCCTCGGCAAGCGCTGAGATCACCCTCGTACCAATCAAGCCTGCCACCCTCTGCCCCAGGCAATGCCACGTTCTACAGCGAAAACTCCGTCCCCTTTGTCATGGGCACTACTGGCGGCGACAGGGACAAGATCATGCGGGAGGCAACGGAGTCTGGGGTCTACGCTGTCATCGCCCCCAATATGGGCAAGCAGGTGGGTCTGGGGTGGGACGTGCGAGAAGTCTTCATGACTTGAAGGTCTGGCGTGAGTCATCAGTGCAGCGTACACTCGACCCAGGTACATCACCCTGACATACCCAATCCTCCAACTTCCCCTCCTACACTACCAGATCGTAGCGCTGCAGACCATGCTGGAGCTCATGGCGGCCCAATTCCCGGGCTGTCTATCGGGGTACACCCTGCGTGTGGTCGAGTCGCACCAAGCCACAAAGGCCGATGCGTCGGGCACAGCCATTGCCAACATCCACTCCTTCCAGCGGATGGGCCTGGAGTTTGACCTGGTAAGTGCGGCTATGGGCAGCATTGACGCATTATGTGTGTAGATAGCAGGCCGCTTGCACGTGCACAGGACGCCCAGCTGTCTGCTGACTGCACCTGGCCAGCATGAAGCTGCCCTGAACCTGCTTCCCAACACCACGCACCCAGAGCAACATTGAGCTGGTACGGGAGGCTGCGGAGCAAATAGGGCGCATGCAGGTACCAGAAGACGCGCTGAACGGGCACGCCTTCCATACCTACACCGTGACCTCTCCCGATGGATCAGGTAGGGCATGGGGGGTGTCTGCATGTGTCTGGCCTGCAGGGAAACCCGACACCCCGAGGTGGAGTGCTGCAGGGCACACGCCAAAGAGCTGAAATGCGAGTCTAACCTGGAATAGTGGCGTGCCACCCTACCCCTCTCGTGCGATGTCTGCAGTGACGCTGGAGTTCAAGCACAATGTTGTGGGGCGGCGGGTGTATGCTGAGGGCACCGTGGATGCTGCCCTCTTCCTGGCTTCCAAGATAGGGGAGGGGGCGGAGAAGCGCCTGTACAACATGGTGGACGTGCTCTCTGGTGGTAACATGCGATCATGAGCCCCCGATGTTGCATAAGAACGGTGCCCCAGAGGCGTGTGCCGCAGCAGCTGGAAAGCGCGGCCGATGTCATCCTCCATGCATAGAGCGCTCCGGAATCTCCCTTGACCTTCGCAGTTCATTGCTGAACACGCCTGCTGATGTAAACACAGCCAAATCGGTATAAAGTCGGAACATATCAACGTGAGAGGCTGCCGCAATGTCGGCAAGCATGATCAAATCCAATGTTGGCCGCAGCGCAGGCACGGCGAACCCCGCTCTCGCTGCGTCGCCCAGATGCATTAGCAGCAGATCCGCATTCACGAGGCAGAGGCGAGCACCTCCACCTCTCTGGAGAACCGCCCGCAATCCAGGCCGGAACGTGGCAGTGTCTGGAATCTTCGGCCTCGGCGTGCCGGAGCTGGTCGTCATTGCTGGGGTCACCGCTCTTATTTTTGGTGAGGCAGGGCACACGTGCCTTTGCTGCTGCAGTGGGATTTTGGAACGGATCCAGATGGCTGGTGCATTCACATATCGTATTTGTCTCTCTCTAAGGACCCAGCAAGCTGCCCGAGCTTGGCAAGACACTAGGAAGGACCGCTAAGAGCTTCCAGAGCGCAGCCAAGGTGCAAGTGCTGGTTGTATCAGAGGGACGTTGATGCTGTTGCTGAGATGTGTGCAACGATCACCATCAAAGCTGGATTGTAGGAGCAGTGTGCTGCTTCTTGGCCACGATCTCATCATTCCATTCCTACAATACAGGAATTCGAGTCTGAGCTCAAGGATGCAGCCAAGTCTGATGATGCCAGCGACTCGGCAAAGAAGTTGAAGGATGGGCAATGATGCCATCGACAGGCACATGTGTGCAAACAACTTGGAGTTAAAGAGTTCTGTGCGCTCTGGGTGCCTCGCCTGCCCTGACTACTGCCCTTGAGAGATGCACCTTGCGTCGACAGAACAACTTCACTTTCCCAGTGTCCTGGTGTCAAGCCGAGTGGAAAATTCATGCCTGACGTTGTTGCTGAGCGCCATCCCCTGCCCCCAGGCAACCAGAATGCAAGGTAGCAGCACAGGGAGAGGGCACTCCAGAATGTTGCGCCTCATGATCCTTTGTTTGCACCTCCAGGGTGCACAGGAAGGGTGCCTGGACCTCACTCAAAGGCCCACTGGTTCTCCCGTCGGACTTCCTCCTCCTGCACTCCAGCAGTGACGTGAGCTCATGTCGGGGAAGGGATCATGTGTGGGGCAAGCAGTCTCGCGCCCAGCCGCCTCCCTGCACACCTCTTCTGGGGTGAAGTCGTTGACGATGTTGAAGTGCTGCCGGATTTCCTCTGGCGACTTGCCCTTGATCATGTTGGCGACCGTCAAGCATGTCAGGTCCAGGAGGGGCTTGATGTTCAAGTAGTTGGCAGCCTATGGGGGATATGGGTGATTGGTGCCAGGTATGGATGCTTGGGAGAGGGCTTGAGTGCCGTCCTCTGATCATGCATCAACTTCTACCTCCAAGCTCCATCATTCCCACCCACCAGGATGAGCTCGAATAGCGTCCCTTGGTCGATGTCTGTGTAGGCGATGTCCCAAGACTTTATCTCTGCGTCGCTCTTGACTGTCTTGTCTGCAAGGGGGGGCCGAGACACATGGAGGATTGATGGCGGTCTGGGCACCCCGCTGCGACGTAAGGCCTGCCATGCACACAGCCCTGTGCCTGGCCACCACAGCCTCACCTGATCCGTCCTTTTGCTCGGCGTCTATGTGATACTGGCAGTAGTCGATGACCTTGCGCAGTATCTTGGAGGAGACGTTCGGGAGAGGGATGGGGTCCTCCGTGCCAGTCTCTGTGCCTCGCGTGGGAGGAATGAAATTGGTGAACGACAAGTGAAGGAATCTTTCACACAAATCCCATCATGAGCAGAGCGACCCAACCAACCCTGACATGATAATTAAACGCACCGTCGATGGTGTTCTCGATGGTGACAGACTTCCTCGCGACCTCCCTGGACACCTCAAATGTTTCTCCATCCGAGCTCAACAATACAACCTATTGGCGACAATGATCTGTTCCATTAACGCGACGGGACGATGCAGCCTTGGGACAGCCCGCAAGCACTGAGTGATCCACCACTTCCCCGCAAGGCCCGCGACTTGCCTGTTCCACAGCCATCGAGGTCCTCTGATTTTTCTCGATTACCTCAACGGGATTGATTCGAGCACTCTTCAGTATCGCGTCGTATGAAGCACAACTGGCTGAACGAAACACTTCCCCAACGTTGCCCCCGAAATGGGGTGTGGGTTATTGGCACCGCATTTCACGCTCAGCAGGATGACTTGTCAATGGTATTACACATGTCAGTCAGCAATGGACACTGAATTCTGTCGGTCTGCCTGAGTCCAAATGAAGGAGCGGTTCTCACCCTGTCCTGGGAGGCGGGGCCCCTGGAGGCGGGGGTGGCCTGTTCAGCAGGGGTGCAAAGGGGTAGCCAGGGCCAGGGCGCGGGAAGCCCGCACCCATCGGCGGAGGCACAAACCCGGCGGGGCCGTGCATGGGAAAGTATGACGGCGTGCCGGGCGGGAACATGCCCATGACCTGCTGCGCATGCTGCGCATGCTGCTGTGGGAAGCCGTGCATGGGCCCTGTCCCTCCCCAGGGCATCGCCTGCATGGCTTGCTGCTGCGGGGGAGGCCCTAGGGGGCTGCTGAACCCGGGCCGCGGAAGGCCCCGGCCCTGCCCCCGCCCGCCCCGGCCCCGCGTCTGCTGCTCGCGCCCGGGCTGCTGCTCCCGGCGTGAAGCGCCGGGTCCCCTGCCCCGGCCGCTGCCGCCGCCGCGGGGTGGCCTCTGCTGCCGCCCCGCCCCCCGTCCCGCCTCTGACCCCTTCCTCTTTGAGTTCAGCTGCCGCAGATACGCGGCTTCCTGTTGGGGTCACAAGACAGGGGGTGGAGTGAGCGAGAGGAGGGTGCGCCGTCTGGACAGTTTGCACCGCGCACGAATGCCATGCGCTGGACACCTCGGGCCGTTGGGTGGGAGGGGATGCAAGATCACCCCTCCCGGCTGGGGTGTGCGAAGCCACACCCAGCCAGGCATGCGCAGAGGATGTCCCTCTTCTCAGTACTTGGAAAGGAAGAAAACGCACAACCCAGCAACTCACCGCCTCGTCGTCGGAGAAGGTGGCGTCGGGGTCGGGGCCATCCTCCCCCACCTCCTCCTCGGCCGCGTCGTAGCGCGCCGCCCGCAGCTCCTCCGTGGGCACCACCTCTGCCAGGCGGTCGACGCTGAACACGGGGTCGCCAGGCCCGGCCCCGGTCCCGCACCCCTCGCCGCCGGCCCGCAGCGCGTACAGGGGCGACAGGACCGGTCCAAACACGTCCTCCACCACGCCCAGCGGCGAGCGGTCGGCCAGCACCAGCCAGGTGCCCAGGTGCAGCGCCGGGGCGCTTGCGCTGGCCTGTCATGGTTTGTGTGGCGGCGGAGGTTGTGGTGAGGGGTGTGACGAGCGGGGGGGCATGCACGGAGGTGCAGAATGTAGGCGAGGCAGGAAGGGATGCCGGCATGTCGAGGGGTTTCAGCATGTCCCACCCAGCAGCCTCCTCCACCCACTTTAACAACGATGAGGCCCTCCAAGACCCCTTGGATGGTCCCGGCCTGGGTGATAGCCTCCTCTGCGTCGATGACAGGCACGTCTGTCGCCAGGGTTTCTTTTCCGAGCAGGGCCGTCGCAGCCTGGTTGGCTGCTGACACCGAGCCGTCCCCAGGGCCGTCCTGGTGGGTGTAATGATGGGCCTTGCTCAAGATTGGGGGACCAGTGGCCAGGCAGGGAAGCCATAGAGGCTGAGGTGCAGTGCGTAGCCTGTAAGCAGGTGCACCTTCCCAACACAGCGCAGCCCTGTTGCAAGGCAGAAAAGTCCCATTGCCTCCTGCGCCTCGCACCTCGTCATCGATGTCTGCAGCCTCCAGCATCTCCCTTATGTCCACAAAGTCATCGATGGACATCTCAGACGAGCCCTGGGAGCTCATGTCATCCTCCAGCAGGTAGTCCAGGAGCAGCCTGAAGCCCTCCCCATCGGGCAGGAGCCTGACCGCCACATACTCCGCCCCTGCCTGCTCGCCTGCGGGGTGCATGGCGACATTGGCATGCCACATCGACATAGCTTGAGACGAAAAGCGGCATACATGGGCTGTCTCCTACCGGAAGAGCCGGAGGCCTGGGACTCGTCGTCGTCGTCGTCGTCGGAGGTGCTCTCCTCCCCGCTGCTGCTGCTCTCCTCCTCGCTCGACTCGCTGCTGCTGACCTGGTCCGAGGAGGCGGCAGGTCTCATCAGGTCTCCCGCTGCCGCTGCCGCTACCTCAAGATCGTCGACGTTCGGTAAGTCCTCCTGGTACGACTCGTCCGGCACACGCCAGTGCTGGCGGTGCTGATCCATTCGTGAGAGAGACCCTGTCACAACCTCCTGTGTCGTCAGGACGATGTGTGATTTTTGATAAACGGCTCACTTCGACCCTTCCTCTAAGGCAGCAATGCTTTACATACATGTCGGAGAACAGGCCTCGCGCGCGCGCGCCAACCCCTGCCCCTAGACATCCAGCTCTTCCAGCTGCAGGCCGGCCGCATGCTTCTCGATCAGCGCCCGCCGCAGGGCCGGCTTGTCCCCCATCAGCATGCCAAACATGTCTGAGGCCGCCGCCGCGTCCGCCACCGACAGGCGCCGCAGTGTCCGCCGGGCGGGGTCCATGGTCGTCGCCCAGAGCTGCTCCGGCATCATCTCGCCCAGGCCCTGGACAGCGTGAGCGCATCGGGTTGCAGGGCAGTGAAGCGGCGCGAGGAGGCTCATGCTCAGGTCGACAAGGGCGCACCAAAGTCTGCATTGCAACGATACGAAGTGTGGGGCCTGCGACAAGCCACCCACCCCTCCACCACCGCCCCAGATCTTCCACCTTGAAGCGCTGAATGTGGTAGGACCCGGGCTTCAGCTCCCGCGTGCGCTGCGCCAGCTCCTCGTCGTCGTAGCAGTAGTGCTTGGACCGCCCCGCGTCGAGGCGGTACAGCGGCGGCACGCCCACGAATACGTGGCCCTGTTGTTGTGAATGCAGAGGTCATGTGTCATGAGCTGGAGAGGTGGAGGTGGAAGAAGGCGGCGGCAGATGCGGCAATGGGGCGGGGTAGCAGAGGTGACACACCTCCCTACCTGCCCAGCATGCATTCTCCACCACTTTCCCGCTCTCGAAGGCCTCCATGCACCCCCGCACACATCCTTGAGCCCTATTCGCTCCTCTCCTCTTCTCACCCGGCCCCCACCCACCACCACCACACACACACACGACACATCCCCACCTGCTCGAACAGGCTGGGCTGGTAGCGGTAGAGAAAAGTGAGGAGCAGGGTGCGGATGTGCGCGCCGTCCACGTCGGCGTCGGTGAGCAGGATGATCTTCCCGTAGCGCAGCGCGCCGCCGCCGTCCTCCGCGCCCTTGACGCCGAGGCCCAGGGCCACGATCAGGTTGCTCAGCTCCGTGTTCTTGTACAGCTTGGCGTCGTCCTTGCGCTCCACGTTCAGGATCTTGCCGCGCAGGGGCAGGATGGCCTGCGTCCCGCGGTCCCGCGCCTGCTTGGCCGACCCGCCCGCGCTGTCGCCCTCCACGATGAAGATCTCGCAGGCGTCGCGGTCGCCGCTCACGCAATCCGCCAGCTTGCCCGGCAGCGTGGAGCGCACCAGCGCGCTCTTGCGCCGCACCAGCTCCCGCGCCTTCTTCGCCGCGTCGGCCGCGCGCGCGGCCTGCAGCGCCTTACTGACCACCGCCGCCAGAGTGCCGGGCTGCTCCTCCAGCGCGGCCGCCGCCTCGCCGGCCACCACGCCGTCCACCACGCGGCGAACCTCAGGGTTGCCCAGCCGCGTCTTGGTCTGGCCCTCGAATTCGGGGGAGGGCACCTGCACCGTGATCACCGCGCCCAGGCCCTCGCGCACGTAGTCGCCCTGCAGGTTGGGGTCACCCTCCTTCAGCGCCTTGGACTTGCGCCCCAGCGTGTTGACTACAAATGCGGTAAGGGCGGGGGGGGGTCCGGAGGTGGAGAGAAAAGGGGTGTTGGGCATGGAGGAGGAGGAGCGGGAGGGGGAAGTAGCCATCGTGTGTCTGCTGACCCAGAGCATTGGGATGGGATGCTGAGTCACACATGCACCAGCCTACAGATGCCCACGCCTGCTGATCACACCGGCCGCCATGTCTCCTGAGAACAGGGGGTGCGCTCCCCGTCCACCAAATCGACCCTCACCGACACTCCACCCCCGCCCACCTATCCTGGTGAGGGCCGACTTGAAGCCGTCGATGTGGGTACCGCCGTCCACAGTCTTCACCGAGTTGACAAACCCCAGGATGTTGTCAGAGAAGGAGTCGCTGCACCACTGCAGCGCGATGTTCACGGTGACGCCGTCCACCTGGGGTGGAAAGGGGGGAAGCAGGCATGGGCCGGTACAGACACAATGACCATGTGAATGGGTGGGCCACCAGGCATTCAGGTCGCCACGCATGCTCGACGGAATGCCGCCCACCACCAGCATCATCTGTCCAAGCACCTTTTTGGAAAAGGAGATGGGTTCGTGCATGGCTGTCTTGGAGCGGTTGAGGTACTTGACGTACTCCTGGAGCCCGCCTGGGTGGGTGGATGATCATATGGACGGGCATGAGAGTGCCGCGGCAGCGCCCGTAATCTCACACGGCCGGGTTCTGCAGTGGCACCGGGCTCTGCAGCGCATCACACCGCCACAAGTCCACGGCCCTCACCCGAGTAGTGCAGGGCCTCCCAGGGCGCGTCGCCGCCCTTGGCAGGCCGGGCCCGGAAGTGGATGGTCACGCCGGAGTTGAGGAAGGCCAGCTCCCGCAGCCGGGCGCGGATGGTGTCGGGGTCGAATGCCGCGCCGGCGGCGAAGATGGCGTCGTCGTACCGGAACCTTACGTCGGTGCCGCGGCGCGGCGGCCCGGCCTGGCCGCCGACCGGCGGGCCCTCCTCCCTGGTGCCGCCGCTGGGCGCGGCCTGAGGCAGCTCCGCCTCCGGGGTCAGGCGCGGCCCGCCCGGCGCCTCGTCTCCCGGCCCCTGCGCGGGGGCGAGCGGCGCCAGCGGGACGCCGCGCGCATACCGCTGCGCATGCCGCACCCCGCCCCGCCACACGCTGATGGCGAGGTGGGCGGAGAGGGCGTTGACCACGCTGAGCCCCACGCCGTGCAGTCCGCCGGAGACGGCGTAGCCGCTGGCCTCGCCGCCGAACTTTCCTCCCGCGTGCAGCACGGTGAGCACGGTCTCCAGCGCCGACTTGCCCGTGGCGGGGTGGAGGTCGGTGGGGATGCCGCGGCCGTCATCGCGCACGCGCACCCAGCCGGAGGCCAGGTCCATCTCAAGCCAGATCTGGGAGGCGTGACCGCCCTGGACCTCGTCGATGGCGTTGTCCAGGATCTCGTAGATCAGGTGGTGCAGGCCGCGCTGGCCCGTGCTGCCGATGTACATGCCGGGGCGCTTGCGCACCGGCTCCAGGCCTTGCAGCACCTGCAGGTTTTGTGTGAAGGGGGGGGGAGAGGGGGAAGGGGAGGTGCCGCGTGGGTGTGGTGGAGGGGCGAGTGGGGGAGGCATGAGTGCGGGTCCAGCCCACCTGCTCCCACCAGGGAGTTCATCATGAAGGCTGGCAGAGGGACAGAGCACACCAGAGGGAACCACGAATGAAGGCCTGAGACCTGTATCTTACTCCACCATCGCCCTTTTTCACCCCCCTACCTGGATCTGGTCTGCATCGTAGGCGCCGTTCAGGGACTCCAGGAGTGAGGAGGTGGAAGAGAAGGCTGGGGCCCCCCTCCGCATGCCATGCTGCCTCAGGAGCAGGGGACTGGCGAATCGGACTGGCCTGGGCAGATTTTTCAGCCCTGGGACCGCGGCCACCAGCCGTCGGGCCACTGCCTGCAACATGGTGGGGGGCAGCTGGGCGGGCCCGTGCGCGACGCGCATCGGCTGGAGTCTAGCCTTTCACGCCAATGCAGGGGAGGTGCGGTTCCATTTCATTCCAAATAATGCATGTGATAGAATCCAGAGGAGACAGGCAGGCGATTTCCGTGGGGTGGGAGTCATGCATTATCGGGACACCAGGCCAGTCGAATTTCGGGGGCGGGAGCCCGGCCGTGGATGTCGCTTGACCAGCCCCGGGCGACACCGACATGCACGAAAGGGTGTCGGATGCCCTGCTCATACACGCAAGCTGTGCATTATGAGACAGAGCATGACACTATGACTGAGAAAGAGGAGGCCACGGTGAGGCCGCTCTCTGCTCTCCCTCCCCTGCGCGCGGTCGCCACAGGCTCCCAGAAACGGAGGGGGGGCGTACGATGGTGAGGCAATGCACCGCTCTGTGGAGGTTGGGCTGAGCATGTCTGGAAGCTAGGATTTCTAGGGCTGCTTGCGTTGCTCCTGCAGCAGCACAAAAGAGCCTCGCGGTGTCCCCTTCTTAACCCAGGGACGAGGCCAACCTGGAGGCCAACGAGGGCATCAAACGGGACCTCAACCCCCAGAAGATCCTGGAACCCAAGACGCCCTACCTCTCCCCCATGGAGACCGACGACGAGCTGGACATGGGTGAGTGGGCAGGGTGTGTGGGGAGAGGGGAGAGGCACTGGGAGCTCACAGCACGGCTGATCTTGGATCTCACCGCCACACCCGCCGTCTGATCCCCCCACATGGGAACCTCTCAGATGGCGCGGGCATGTCGCCGCTGAAGCTGGATGACGAGGGTCCCTCCGCCAACGGCTCGACCGCGGGCGGGCATGGCTGGGAGGACGGGGTACGACGCCTGCCCGCCAGCCTGGGCCCCGCCCCCAGCTGCAGCAGCAACTGGAGCGACTCGGACCGCAGCGTCGGGCGCAGCCCCAGGGTGGCGGGGCGTAGCCCGCGCTTCAGCGTGGACGACCCCTGGGACGTGGCCCGGGATGGCGACGTGGAGAGCGCCGACCCGGAACGGCAGGAGAAGCGGAGGCGGTTCAGGGAGGCGAGGCGCCAGCACTACAAGATGAGGGCGTCGCTCAAGCAGTGAGCGAAGGGGAAGAGGAGGGGGTGATGTTGCTGCCTGCACTACATGCATTTCCGTGTGGGGAGTCCTGCGGGGGACCTTTACGTTGCGGCTGCACCCATGCTCAGAAAGCAAGGTGGGGCCTACTTTGATGAAGGCCGCAGCGTCCCCTCCCATTAGGCTTCAGATCTCGAATCTGCGGACCAGCAGTCATGCACCATGGCATGGCACTCCACTGAGCACATGTCCATGCCCGCCGTGCAGGGGTGCTGAGGAGCCAGAAGGTGCTGACGAGGACGAGGAGGGGCCCTTGGCACCAGCCCCCAGCGCTGTAGATGGACTTGAAGCTACGGGAACGGACTAGAATTGGGCAGAGCTCACCTGCATATACCGTTTGGGACTGGTGGGGATTGTACTCCAGGTGTCTTCCAACCCCACAGACTCTCGTGTGCCTATCACTCCTGGAAGACATCATCTAGGTAAAGACCTGCGCAATGATCCCTGACACGCCCCACCGGGAGTGTGCTGCTGCCTGTCATGGCGACTGTGAGCACCCAGGCCACTCCAATTTCTATCTGTCAAGTTTGATTGCTCATAGGAATGAAATGTGAGGCTGGGAAAGGGTATGCAGCGCAGAGGGCAAGTTGGAGCCCAGGCCCTGGCTGGTCTGGAAGTATCAAGGAGTCCATGAGGAACAGCATCTGCCGAGCAAACATCTGAGAGCACTTCGAGAGCATGTGGCAATGTTGTAGATTAGCAAAGGAATGAGCCAAGAGAATGGGAGCATTGGCCTCATCGTGCAGCGGAGCATGTGTTTTTGGGCAGCCGGCCGTCAAGTTCAGGCGACCACAGCGGCTGCAGATGGCTAAGGCCCAGCGTGTTGCTGTTCACGTAGTGACACAGCTTGGCCCTGAGCAGAGCAGCGCCCAATCATCTCCTGGACCTGAACCACGGGAGCATGTGTGGGGAGCGGGTTGGTCTTGCTGACGGCTTGGAAGAGGTTCAAATCGCATTGCGGGCGAGCAGAGCAATGGTATGGTATGGTGGGGGTGGTGCAACACCCCCTCAAGCCTGGCATCGCACCTGGAGAGCCAGCGCCGCCGACTGTGCATCTGCACAGGCGGCCATCGCCGCGATCTCCACCAGCGCCTCCTTGGCGCCCGCGTGCGTCAGCACCCACTGGATCGCAGCAGCGTCGCCGCGCCCGTCCCCCCCGCCCGCGCACACGTTGGCCAAGGCATGCAGGATGGCGTGCCGGACGGCGAGTGCACCGCCCCTCCCCATGGCACGCAGCAGCGCCTGGTTTGGGGTAGGGATGGGGATGGAGGGGCTCGACAGCGCAGCCGCGAGGCCGGCAGCTTGTTTCCAAGGGCCATCCACCTTGCAGCACTACAGCACCCCGCCTCTGGCACGGCACACCGCGATGCCCAGGCCCAGAGATGCCCCGGCAGACCACCCGCTGCCTTCACCAGTCTCAATCGGACCTGGACGGCGCCCGCCTGCGCCACGGCCTCAGCACCCTCGCGCCCCGGCAGGCCAGCCAGGTTGCCCAGGGTCCAGGCCGCCTCGCCGCGCAGCCCCTGGTCTACACTCTCCACACAGGAGCAGAGCGCGTGCAGCGTGCCCCGTCCCTCCTCCATCAGGAGGGGCCGGAGGCGCGCTGCGTCGCCGGCAGCGACCATGTGCCCCAGCGTGCGCAGCAGGGCCTGCGCCAGGGCTCCCGCGGGCCCCCGCCGGGTCGCCACCCCGCCCGCCACGGCGCACCGCAGCCGTGCGCAGGCGGCCTCCAGCAGGCCCTCGTCCAGCATGGCTGCCCACCCCGGCCCGGGGTCGGGCGCAGAGGCGCAGCAGGCCAGCAGCCAGGCGGCCTCCGTGGCCAGCGCCGGCGGCGCCAGCCTGACCAGCCGCACCAGTGCGAGCCCCAGGCTGGTAGGTCCCGGGCACAGGAGCGCCTGGACTGGCGCTGACTCAGCGTCCTGCAGGGTGCGGCCCAGGGCCCAGGCCGCGACGGCCGCCGCCGTGCATTCCTGTCCGTTGCCGCCAGCTGGTTCTTGCCCACCTCCTACGCCGTCGCCGGCCTCTTCTCCACAAAACATCGCGGCGCTTTCCACGACCCGCCTCGCCAGCAGCGGCACGACCCCCGCCGCCACCAATCGCCGGCGCAGCTCCCTGCCGTCGGCTGCAAGGTTGCCCATGGCCCACGCCAGCTGCTCGGCCAGTTCCCGATCAGCCGACGGAAGGAGTGCGGTGAGCGGCGGCAGCGCGGCGGCCACCGCGCGCGCCGCGGCGCCCGGCCCCGCCGCGAGGTTGGTCGCCGCCCAGGCCGCCTCCAGCACCGTCTGCGTGGCGATGGGGCCCCCCTGCGGCGGCTGCAGCGCGCGCACCAGCAGCGGCACCGCACCGGCCGCAACCGTCTCGCCCAGCGGCAGGTCGCCCGGCGCGGACAGCCGGCGGCGCAGGGCGCGCAGGGCGTGCAGGAAAGCGCGGCTGCCCACCGGCCCCGCGCCGGCCAGTCTGGCGACGTCGGCTGCGACGCCGGCATGGTCTGGCTGCGCAGTCCCGGCCTCCCCGTCGTCCATGGCCCTACCCTCCAGGGCACACCCATCCAGCTTCAGGCGCTTGGCCCCCAGAGCCGCCTGCCGGTGCTCTGAAAGTCGAGCCGCGGCCTGTGCGGGGGGGCCAGTCCTGAGGTGAGCCATCGGCCATTCACATCGTGTGCATGGGCTCCCCATTGTCTGACCAGGGCTCAGCATAGTGGTGGAAGTATCACAGGTCTCTGGATTCCATCCTCGCTCACCTCGTCCCTGCGCTTCTGTGTGGCAGCCTGAGCGCTGCCTGTGCCTCCGGGCTTGTGATGCCCCGCTCTGCAAGCACACGGCGCAAGGACCTCGTGACCGGGCCTTGGGATGGTCCGCTGTGGCGCAAAATGTGTAGCTGGGCTGAAGAATACTGCTTGGTGAACCCTACCCTGCCAAGTCACCTTGGCATGGGGATGCCCTTAGGAGATCCCTCGCACTCAATAGCCAAGTATCAGCACGATATACAACATGCTCTTTTTCAAGGTGCTGAGCAGGAGGCGGTCTTGTGTTGTCGTCGCCTGCATGTCACTCGCCGGTGGACCCGACAGGTAGTCCGTGAGGAGGTCTCTGACGAAATGAACATAGACGGCTGCCTCACTCGACTCGGAAGGAATCCAAAAGGGTTTACTTAATACTACAACAGTGTAGCTGCATCGATTTGCCGCTGCGCAACGCCGGCGCTGCAAGGCTTCCTCCATGCTCCAGAATCTCAGGACAGGTCATAAACTCCATTCATTTTGAAAGCGCCCATGACCACCAAGGAGACAACCGTCCCACATTTAGGAGGCACGCTGAGGCATACACATTGAATAGAACACCTCGAAGTACGTCTGGGACATCGAACAGGTGTTCGAGCGTCAGGCGCATGACGGCTCCCCAGCCCTCCGCAACGACTCCATGAACCTCGCCCTGCGCTAGCCAGTCCCCTGGGCCAGCGCCATGATCAGGACACACAGCTCCCTTCATGCCCACCACAATGTCCATGGAGCGGTTCTGGGGCCGCCAAATGGACGTGGCGCCCGCATGCGCCCATCCGCACCATCGGGAGTCAGGGGCGCAAAGCGGTGGAGGCCATGTGCCGCCCTACCCGAGCCAACGAAAGGACCCAGACTTGCTGCAGACCATGAGGGCCCCAGCAATCAGCCTTCCGTCATTCTGTCAAGACTGAAAACGGTACATGCAAAGGGCGAGAGTTGAGGGTGGTGGGGGTCTCCTCGCGTGTGTGCAGAGTTTGAGCCTCTGTCTGAGTGGCCGACGAGTGCTCTCCATTCCCTCATCGTGGCGTGGACCCAACCACCATGTCACAGCTGGCACTACCATACTGGATGGAGTCCAGCGAGAAGGTCCAGGCACGATGGAAGCTAGCTAGAGTACTGGGCTTGACCCTTGGCACGACGGGCATCAGGTGCTGGATGGATTTCGTGTGGGTCTTCTTTCTTGGTATGAAGTGTTGTTGCGATCCCATAAAGGTAAAGCAGGACACAATGTGCAATTCCCTTCATATTAGGGTACAGCTGATGGACACCACACCTATGCCCAGAGGCCCCCATTCCCCCACCTCCCTCCTCATGACAGCGTTGTTTTCAACTACCTCGGCCGCGATTTCTTCAACGCCTTAGCCGCCAAGGATCAGGCAAAATTCTCGGAGATGCTGATTAAGTACCTGGGGGCAATTGTGGCCGGCATCCCAGTATTTGTCTTCAGGTGTGACAGGGGATGATCTGCATGGACTGTCAGAGTCTGCAGTGTATTCTGCTTGGGAGCATGAAGTGCCTGCAGCCGCTGGGCCCTGCCCTGACATTGCAGGCCTGGATGCCAGCAAGCCCTTGGACATGTTTGGCAAGAGGGAAATCCCACAACATCAGCCACTGTCACCCCACGCAGGGATTACTACCAGTCTCTGTTGGCTGTGGAGTGGCGTGAGTGGATGACACGCCGTTTCACCTCCGACTACCTGTCTGGCACGTCCTACTACAACCTTGCCTCCTCCGGCACCGTGGACAACCCTGATCAGCGCATCTCCAGCGATGTCAGGTGGCCGTCTCATTTACCCGCAACCTCTGCACAACATCCATGAGTGCAGCTTCCACATGGCCAGTACCACCCCTCAGCTCTGTTCCACCACCATCTCACCAGGAACTTCACGGACGCGGCGCTGGCCCTTAACATCACCCTGCTCAGCGCTGTGGTGGATCTGGTGTCTTTCTCTGGCATCCTTTACTCCATTTATCCACCCCTCTTCCTGGCGCTCCTGACCTACTCGGGTGAGGTCGCACAATTCCGTGCCCTTGAGGTGTGGGCATGGCCGTGAGGACTGATAAGATGGGCGGTGAGAAGCGAGAACGGTGAGAGAGGCCTCGCCCCACCTGAACTGCACCGGTGTTTCCCGCCTCTTCATCATGCCTCTTGTATCCCTGGCGCAGTGGGAGGGACGGGCCTGTCCTACCTGATCGGGAAGCGGCTGGTGGGACTCAACTTCAACCAGGAGGCCCGAGAGGCAGATTTCAGGTGCTTGGGCTGGCAGTTGTGCACGACTATAGTTTGAAAGTTTGCAGGAGGATCACAGATAAGAGGGCACGACCTTGGCAATATGTCGCATGCAGCTTACAAGTTGCAGACCACACCAGACGCATGATGCCTGAAACTTGATGTCATCCAACTCCTGGCCCCCATTTCCTTCATCCCAGGTACGGCCTGGTGAGGGTGCGGGAGAATGCGGAGAGCATCGCGTTCTATGGTGGCGAGGAGAGCGAGAGTCGGCTGCTTGGGAACCGCCTGTCGGGCGCCATCTCCAATCTGCTGGAGCTGCTGAAGGCGAGCAGGAACCTGGCCTTTTTCACCTCCTTCTACCGGTGGGTGGGCGACATGCATTTGCACTGGGAATGGAAAGAGCAAGAGCCTTGGGCCACGAGGGATCACGGGGCAGGGCCCCTCCTGCGGGTAGCTTTTGCATGGATCAACCATCAGCCAGGTCTGCAGTTCCTGAGGCACTCAAAGCCTTCCCTGCCAACGGAATGCAGATTCTTGATCCAGCTGCTGCCGGCAGCGGTAATTGCGCCCCTTTACTTCAAAGGAGACATTGAGTTTGGTGTGATCAACCAGTCCACCTCAGGTGCGAGGTCTGCGCAGGGGTCATGGTCGTCGTCTCAGCTTGGAGTTTTGTTCCCCCCACGCTTCACACTGTTGCTGGCCGCACATATAAACGTTTCCCTTCCTTTAGGTCAGCTCCCTTCCACTCTTTCCTCCCAGCCTTCAACCACATCCTGGGCGACGTGTCCCTGGTGGTCTACCAGTTTGAGTCCCTGGCCGGCTTCTCCGCCATCATCGACCGCTTGGGGCAATTCAGGGAGATCCTGGAGGATGATGGAGGAACTGCAGCTTCACTTTCCTCTAGTAAGGAAGCGCCAGCCCTGGACAAAGGAAACGACAGCCCCGGCACGGCAAAGTTGACCAATGGGGTCGCTACTATCTCAGTGGTCGAGACGGATGTGGGGAACACAGGTGAAACTAGGCATGTGGAGGCTGTGACTTTTTTATCTGCACCTGGGTGCAGGGCATACTTCCCAGAATCTGCTGCCTATACTGTGTGATGTGTATAATGCTCTGGTCTCCAGGCCCCCAAACTCACAATCTCCCTCCTTCCTAACTCATATCAGGGGGTGACACGCTGCTCACGGTCCAAGATCTGACCCTCATCGTCCCCGGCGGTACCAGCAGCAACCCCCTCCTCATCAGCGCCCTGGATCTGACCGTCAGGCGCAGGTCCTCCGTCCTCATCATGGGTCCTTCGGGGGCCGGCAAGACCAGCCTGTTAAGGGCCGTGGCGGGCCTCTGGCGCAGCGGCAGCGGCACCATCCGCTGCCCGGCCCGGGGGTCAGGCCTGTTCTTTGTGCCACAGCGGCCCTACATGGTACTGGGCACCCTGCGCGAGCAGCTCCTCTACCCGACCTGGACCACCGTGGTCAGTGGCCCCGGGGTCAGCGGCGCCGCCGAGTTTACTGTGGTGGGTACGGGGCGCCACAATGGGAAGCCGCAGCTCCCGCTGCCCGACGACGGCCACCTGGTCGCCGCGCTGCAGCGCGCCCAGCTGCAGGGCCTGCTGGAAAGGGTGGCGGGCGACCTGGACTGCCAGGCCGATTGGGCCGCCATGCTCTCACTGGGCGAGCAGCAGCGCCTGGCGTTTGCCAGGCTGCTCCTTGCTAGGTCCGTGGGTGCGGAGATGACTCTGCGCAACGACCCCTGACGCCTGCATGGTGCCTTGTTGTGAGGTGATATCGAAGGATGCAAGCCGCTCAATCACCCCGCTTTTTGTCACCCCGACCCCACTGCAGGCCGGACCTGGTGCTGATGGATGAGTCGACCTCAGCGCTGGACACCGAGAACGAGAGCAGGCTGTACCAGGCCCTGCGAGACCAGGGTGGGTTGCTTGTGGGCTCCGTGTGTTCTGGTAAAAAGGGTGGCTGAAAGCATGCCGAGAGTCCTCCTGCGCTGCTCAGTAGCATGGCACGCGAGGGGGGTCCTTTTAACGACTGGCAAATGCCAAGCTTGCATGACACTCGACCACCCCAAAACCTCCTTTCCCCTGCGCGCATCCCAGGCATCACGTATGTGAGCGTGGGCCACCGACCCACCCTGGTGCGGTACCATGAAGAGGTACTGCAGCTGCATGGCGGCGGGGCCTGGACCCTGCACGCCGCCTCCGAGGCCAAGCTGGATCTCCTCGGCGCATTTTGAGGACGTGGCACTCCGCGCGCTGTGCATGCATGAAGTGTCCTGAATGCGGCTCTCGGTGACTTGATCATATCCAGATACCCGTCGCCCACTTCCTCTGCCCACTCCATACCTTGTTCTGTCCCTCTTGCTGTTGTACCACACCAGGAGTAGTGCAATGACAAAAGGAACATTCAGTCTGCAGGCAGTGCCTGGGCCTGGGTCAGGTGTGACCCACTGGCCCCAAGCTCCAGTCGTCGGACTGGAAGCGACCGTGCCCCACCACCCGGATCCTGTCGTCGAACACCTCGATGATGCCGTGGCAGTCGTTGCCCGGCGGCGTCTCCAGGATTGCAGCGCACACCCGATGATGGATGCCCGCAGAGTCCCTGCAGTACCCGTCTCGGTGTGTGTGGCCCGCCAGGGTCGCCACGACGGTGCCCGGGAAGGCCTGCAGTACCTGAAGATGGTGGGAGGTGCAAGGGGGGCCCTGGTTATTGGGGAGCTGAAGGTAATGGATCTTGAAACACGGGCTCAAATGCAATGTTCCCGTTGGGGACAGTGCACCTCACTAGAGAAAACCCTTGCTGCCACAACCCCGGCCAGCCCCGCCGACCCCTGTAGGGTGCTGCCACCCCCTGCATGGGTAGGCTCATGTGCACAGACCCTTGACCCCTACTCCTGCTCGCCAGCCTACCTCCAACACCTGCTCGTAGTTCCAGAGCAGGCACACAGGCGGGCAGGTGTCAGGGTGCATGGGCAGGTGGCAGGCCACCACGACACGGTCGCCCGCTGCGCGCGCTTCGCCCAGCTGGCCGCGCATCCACACCAGCTGGGCGTCCGACAACCCGCCGCCAAACTTCACGAAGCGCCGCTCCGTGCCCTCCAGACCGTCGGGGCTGTTCTTCTCCTGGTGAGGATTGGGGAGGTGGGGGAGGCTGGTTGGAATGGGCTCTGAAGGTGCTCACGCCTTTCAGTGATGCTTCACGCCACTCCATGTAGCGACTGCTGTTGTGGCATCGTGGGCCGCCCCACACGCTCCCTGCACCGCCGCGCAGCCCAGCGGCAGCTAGACCAAGATCCGGTGACGGCTGACGAGATGTCCTACATACTCCAAGCCCCACGGGCCTCACCTTGTTGGGGTTCCGGGCCTGCAGCGTTTCCTCAGCCAGCTCATGCAGCGGGTGCCCCGGCTCCCAGCCCAGCAAGCTCACGTCATAGCCATCCAGGACGAGCACCCGCCACCCGGCCAGTGGCTGGACGGCATAGTAACTGTGCCGCTGCCCACCCTGGAGCTCGCTGATGCCTGGTTGGGTGGTCGAGGGGTGTGTCAAGGGGCTGATCGATCGGTGCTCCTAGGTCCACAGCGGCCCTGCCCGGGTGCTGCACGTTGCTTGAACAGTTCGACATTCCAATCCCCCAAAACCTCTGCAGCGCCCCTCACCCAGACGCTGGTTGAGCACCGGGCGGCTGTGGCAGTACAGGCAGTGATTGCCTAGCATGTGGTAGACCGGCGCCTCCAGCCGAGTAAAGATGTCCAGGACGTCCTGCAGCGCAGAGTCTGGTCTGGACCGCACCGCGCTCGCCTCCGCGGGGGTCACTGAGTTGTGAAAGTCCACAATCTGTCAGGGAGAGGGTGCAAGGGGGATGAGTCATGCTGAGTGAGACCCCACCTGGATGCCCTGCCTGGCCGTCCCAATCTAAACTCCAGTGCAGTTCGATGAAATATCCTTGCAATCCCCACCTACATCTCCAAGGTGCATGGCAAAGTTGACGTGGGCCTCCTTGAAGTCGTCCACAGCGCGTTGCAGGAGCTGCAATGCTCCACGATAGTAGCGCGGGACGCCATGGAAGGAACTCCCGTCGGGTATGTCGGCGTGCTGGACGTCGGCCACGACGCCAAAGCGGAAGAGGGGGAGGGACTGCATGCTTGCCAAGCCACGAGGAGCAGAGGGGTGCACGACTGCCGCTCGAATGGGGCTCATGGGGTGGTAGATTCTCAGCGCTAGCAGATGTCACGAGTTGTAGCCTGATAATGGCCGAGAATGTGGGAATTTATTCCACAAACCATTCGGTTCTGTTATTCGAAAGGAGTGTGAGGTGGGGACTTCTCGCCGCGTCACTGCGTCACGGGTTCCTATACAATAGAGGAAGATTCAACATATTTAAACAATCAAATTTGACAACTACATGAAAGGAGCACTTCCTGAATTGCTGCTTCGAGTACTGGGGCACCGAGGTTTTGTGGCTCGATGGGCATTGCCCCAAATCCGCGCGCGCCCAGATCTCGGAGATGCACTACTTCGCAGCGACGCTGGTCAATTACTGCCGCGGAATCTGTACGCCCAAGACTGGGATGTCTGAAACATCTTGCAGGGTGTCCAGGTTGTACTGAACGACCTGCACGGGTCAGGGGTGCTGGGGGTTGTCGGTCTCGATCACCCACCCCATGTCGTCCCGGACTCGGCCCCCTTCCATCCTGCCAACCAGGAGCTTTGCATCCGATGGGGGACTCACTCCACAGGCACTGCGATCCGACGCTAGTAAGGCGGCTGCACACCTTCGACGCTCCTCCCTCAGCGGCACGGATGGGCAGGATGGGGGGGTCCCTCCCTGGGCCCTGGCGTCTGACATGTTCAGGGCGCGGTACCACTCCGTGCTGGCACACACGGAGGGAGACTGGCGGCCCCTCAAGGGTATCCACCTGGCCCTAGATGGGGGTGCATGCCCTTTGCCAGGCCCCCGCAGGGCCGCGAAGGACAAGGACGCGTCAGACCTGTCCGCAGATGCCGCCAGTCTGGCGGCGGGGACGGATGCCTGGCACGGCGGGCCGAGGATGGGGGACAGCAGCCTGCGAGGACCTGCCCGCGCCCCCAGGTGGGCGTGAAAGGATGGTGCATGGGGTGTGCAGAGGTGGTCACGATGAGTTTGAGCCGGGATGGATCTTTGCATCCCTGTTCCCGTGGCCCTCCTTGCGACAGCCCCTGATCCCAAGGCCTCACTTTTTGACATAGGCCGCAACTGCTGTTCCAGTACAAGCCGTACGCACAACAGGATTCCCTGGACGTGGGCGCCCCCGCAGTGGCGGCGGTGGTGGAGGCGGTCTTCGGCGCCGGGCTTGCAGGGTCAGCGGCAGGGGCATTTGAGGTACGCTTCCGGTTGCTGGACTATTTGTCCAAGGAGCAGGGAATATGGGAGCAGGTCCAGCCTGGTGTTGAGTCAAGTGGCCAGGCAGGGTCCTCCGCTCCATTGGCTGGGCCGAGGTGGCAAGCAAAGGCCTCCTACTGATCTCAGGCGCCCAAAGCCTGGCCCACATGCAATGGTCCACGAGAGAGAAGCAGACCCCAGCGATCCTGCCCTACACAGACTCCATCCGGCCTCCCACTTCCCACTGGACCTCCTTCGGTCTCCTCTCCTACAGCTCATTCACACCCCTCCCCAATCCACCCCCCAGACGCTGCCCAGCGAGTCCCTGTGGGACTCCGCGGACGGGGCGGCCGCCTTTGGCGTGTCTGCCGGCGCCAGCACGGGCGAGGTCTCGGCCATCATCCTGCTCAAGCTGGTGATGGACAACTACCTGAAGGCGGGCGGGCGCGGCGCGTACGCGCCCACCCTCCTGCTGCTCCAGCGCGCGCTTTCTTCGGGGCGGCCTGCTGCGCAGGCCCGCGTCTTTGACCTCCTCTACAACCTCTCCCTGCACGGCGAGCTACTCTATCTCTCCCCAGCCGCGGAGGTGCCCGAGACGGCGGCCGCCATCCGCCAGAGCGGTGCGGATCGGGCGGGGCTGGCAGGCTGGAGGGGAGGGGGAGGGGGATTTCCATCAACACCAGCAGACTGGGATTGGTGTCTGTTTTGGCGACGGCGCTGGCTTGCGGACCTCCCGTTTCAGCAGCGCCGCCCTGCGCCGCTGCAGCACAGCCCGTCTTGTGGCCTGTGCGCTGCCTGACTCACCGTTTTCATGATGTACGTCGTTTCTGCCCTCCAATGCGCCTCCAAATCAACTCGCCGTCCACCAGTGTCCGAGGCGGACGGGGAGTGCGGGGACCTGGACTGGCGCCGCACCGTCACCCGCGCCTTCCGCTCGACCCTGGCCGCGTCGGCGACGCCCACGGGCCCGGCGGCGGCGCGGGAGGCACCCTTCACGGGCCCCCACGCCCGGCAGCGCCGCAGCGGCCACGCCGGCGCCGGCGTGGAGGGCCTGGAGCGGAACAGCAGCGGCAAGCTGGAGGCGGACTGGCCCGTCTGTCCCGGACCGAAGCCCATCCAGGCAGGCCGGGCCGGCTGAGCGGTGATGGGGCGAGGGATCGAGCATTCTTCATGCATGCGCTGCCGTACCGGCGCCGTCGGCTTCTCTCAAGCGGAGGTGTCACCCTGCTGACCTATCCGCTGGCATGTGGCGTGTCTGATGCCCTGCCACTCCCCTCTTGACCCTGACCCACACAACCCCCCTCCGTCTCTTGGCCCCCACTCCCCCCATGCAGGGCGGCGACGCACGCACCGACACCTTCCACCACTGGCTGCGCCTGCTCCTCTTCCGCCTGCTGACGCGGCTGGCCTCCCTGGAGGGCGCGCCGGACGCGGTGTGGACCTCCGCGCTGTGCACGCTGGCCCACCTGACCACGCACCGCGGCCGCACCGTGCGTGCCTACGTGGAGGACCTGCCACTGTGCGCGCTCGGCGCGCTGCTGGACCACGCGCGGGATGGGGCCTGGGCGCCCGCCATCCGCGACTGGCTGCTCACGCTGGCCTGCAACCTGCTCTACGTCCGGGGCGAGGGCGGGCGGGGCGCGGGGTCGCGCTCCCTGAAGTCGCCGTCGGCGACGGAGTCCCTGCGCAGCTCCAGTGAGGGTTTTTTTTTCGATTGGGGGAGTGGGGGGGTGGGGGGCGCAATGGTAGGAAAGACGAGGCCTGTGGTGACGACGCGTTTCAAGCCACCTGCGGTGAGGATGCTGCATGCAGACGTGTAGTAAGGCGGAAGCATTTCTTTAAACCAAATGTGAATACATCAATGCCGCTGGTCATGCATGGCGGCGCTGCCCGACCAGGCCTCCCCGGTCACCTGAGCCTCCCCCCCCCCCTCCCCATTCCCTCCCTCCAGCCAACCTGCGGCGCAGCGCTGCGGCAGCCGGGAGTGAGACCTGGTGGGCCAACGCGCATCTGGATGTGGACCGACTGCAGGAGTTTGGGGGGATGCGCCAGGTGGGTGGGTGGGGGTGGCTGGGTGGGTCGGTGTGGAGCAGCGTGTCGGCCCAGCATTCTGCGGCTGGGTGTTGAAGCAGGCCACGCCCCAGGTGTGACATGTCCAGACTCGTCCACACAGGCCCGTCACAACTCCTCCCGACTCACCGCTGCCATGCACCGCATGCATACCTCCACGCAGCTGCTGCGATGCTACCGGGAGGCGCCGACGTCCAGAGCTCGCAGCAATGTCTTCTGCGTCATGTATGACTACATCACCTCCTCGCAGGTGGGCCAGGTCCTGGGCTGTGCTGGTTACCAGCACGGGCTAAACCTCTTTGGTTTCATCTGGGGGCCTGAAGGGTCGAGTATGTGCACCAGCCGCCCATCGCGCCATTGAGCTGCCAGCCTGACAACCCCCCTTTCAACCACATCCACACGCCTGCATCCCTTCTTGCATCACCACCCCCATCTTTGCCACCTCTTTACCCCCCAGGGCCCCAACGAGTACGACAGCTGGTCCCCCGCCCTGGCCCAGGGGGCGCACTCCTCCGAGGTGGTGGCGCTGGGCGCGGCCCTGCTGCACCTGCGCGCCGCCGACGCGCTGCACCCCATGTTCCTGGCGGGCACGCCGGGGTATGTCCCCGGCGTGGCCGACGAGCTGACCACTCAGATGGCGGCGGTGCAGGTGATGCTGGTGATGCTGGTGGCTTTGATGGTGGGGTGTTGGGTGGGAGTTTGAGTGGGACTTGGGGCAGCCTGACGATTGCAGGCCAGCACAGAGTCAATTGTTACTCGCCAACGACAGCCTCTCCCGGCATCAAGCCATCCCCTCACCCGCCCCTCTCGGTCCACGATCCCCCTACACCCGCACCCTCCAACAGGCCAAGAACCCCGGGAGGGTGATTGCTGTGCCGCCCGCCTTTGTGAGCGAGGTGCTGGACTGCCTGGAGGACATCGCGTGCAATGCCATCCGGGTGCCGCGCTCGCTGGAGGAGAGCGTGAAGTACAGCCTGGAGGTGGTGGCCGGCCCCGACGTGGACACAGCAGGTGCTGCTTTTCTGTGTTACAGAGGGGGTCCGTACGGGAAGAGGAGCGTGGAGGGTGTTAGGACCGACGGGGGCGGGGGTTGGAATGTATGACTGGCCCTGCGCTCATGCGCGCAATGCACCAGGTTGCGGGCGTTTCGTCGCTGCCCCTGCGTCCTCCCCACCATGAAGCGCTGTGCATGCCCCCCTCATCCCCTCCGACCCTCCCTCCGGCCTGGGCCTCCAACCTCCCAGGTCGTGGAGACGAGGCGCTGGTCTGGGACACGCTGGTCGACTGCCTGAGGGACCAGAGCGAGCTGGGCGCGCACATCGGCCGCGGCTGGCTGCTCAAGCTGCTGTTGGCCAGCGCCGAGCAGGAGCTGCAGCGGTGAGCGCGGGATGGGCCCGGAAAGGGCTCTCATGGGTGGGCCGTGGGGTGATCGAAGAAAGCCACCGGTGGTATCCAGGGTGGTGTCGGGCGGGGCTGGATGGGGGTTACCACCGTTTTGGCCTCACCATCCAGGGTCCCCCAATGCCTTAAAAACCTCCCGCGGGAGGCATCGCCCACCTCACCGCCGGTCCATGCACCGGCCAAGCAGCCATCACTCTCGCCTTCTTTCCACCCACCCCCGCGGCGACAGGTGCCCCGCCAACGCCCTGCCGGCGCTGCTGCCGGAGGTGGGCCCCCACGGCTGCCAGCTGGCGCCAGGTCAGCGCGGCATCGCCTCCCAGGATCGCCTGCGCGACCTGCTGGAAAGGGCGCTGGCCACCACGGGCGACTCCCGCGCCGCCGACGCGTTCATGGACGCCGTCCAGGTCTGGTCGTCGGGCGGGCTGGGGTGGAACTCGTGGACTGAGGGTGGCAGGGCGCGACGGATGATGGTGTAGGGCCCACAGGGTGGCGCAGGGGTCGTAGCGTGAGGGATGCTCGTGCAGCGGGCTGCCTGGACTGGCGAGGTCGACACACAGCCAGATCAGACGCAGCGGAGCCAGGTGCCGTGCCACGCCACACTGACATCTGTGCTGGAGTGCAGAACTCTTACTCACATCATGCTGCACAGGGCATGCTGGCACACATCCGGCTCAAGTCGCTGCGCCGCTCGTGGGAGGCTGACCCGGTGGTGAGTGGGGGTATGTGGGAATGCGAGCCATCCCCCGCTTCCCTGACCCGGCTTCTGAGAGTGATGGCAAGCGCTCAAACCCCCTTGAGGGCAAGCAGAACGTAGCTGACCCCTGGCAATCCCCGCCGCCGTGCAGGCCGCCCCCGCGCCCGCCGTGCCCGACACCGCCAGCTCCACCTCGGGCCTGGTCAGTGCCATGCGCCGCGCCGGCCTGTCCGAGGGCGATTCGGAGGTGGAAAGCGTGAGCGAGATGAGCAGCGCGCTGTCGCGCAGCGCCTCACCCCTCCCCCGCCTGGGGCAGGGCCCGGGGTCGTACGACTCGATGCCCTCCTCCCTGAGCAGCCAGGTGGACGGCGGCATGCCCAGCACCGAGCCCGCCGAGTCCTGGCAGGCGAGCGTCGGTCGTGGGGTGGTGTGGGGAAGGGAAATTATGTAGGGAGGGGAGATGGAGCAGGTAGAAAGGGAGCTTTGTGGGCACATTGTCTGTGGCAGGCTGTGCATGGGTGCTCCGTAGCGAGCTCACAACCCACAAGTGAGCCTGTCGCATGCATGAAGTCATCCCCCCCAACCCCTTCTAAAAACCAAAAACACCAACTGCAGGCGGTGAACGCGCCAGCGGTCCTGCTGTCCACCCTGTGCCTGGCGGTAGAGTGGCTGCTGCAGGCCCCGCAGGAGGCGCGCCAGGGGGCCATGCTCCAGGCCACCCAGCTCCTGCTTTCCTTCATCGTGGTCACCCCCGGGGCGGGGGAGGAAGCACGGGGCGACGCCTCGCCCAGCTCCCGCCCGCGCCGGCGCTCTGCGGCCGGCTGGGCCCTGGGCCCGTTGGGCGAGGAGGCGGCGGGCGAGGGCAGCGTGGGCGAGGCCGGGGCGGGGGAGGACGGGCACGGCGACGGCGGGGCGGGGGAGGGCGGCGACTACACAGGCCGTGCACCGATCCCCGCCCCGGAGGCCAGCCAGGGCTCCGTATCCGGCGAGGCCGGGGCGGCGAGGCGGGGCACGCCCACCGCGAGCGGCAGCTCCCCCTCCTGGTCCGGCGTCGGCGGCGCCTGGCCGTCGCGACCGGGGTCTCAGGCCCCTCGCCCCCCCGGCAGCGCCGACCCGGAGCCCAGCGCCGCGCTGCGCACGCTGCGCCTGCTGGGCGCGGGGCGGGTGCGGGAGGCGGCGGCCCTGCTGGGCCCCGGGGCGAGGGCCAAGCTGGGCGGCGCGCGCGTGGCGGCGGCCGGCGCGGCGGCGGCCGCCGCGCTGGCCGCGGCCGACACCAGCTCGGTGCTGGAGGCCTTCCTGGCGGGGCGGGGCGTGGTGCCGGCTGCCCACGTCCGGCGCCTGCCCCCGCTCCTCCTCCGCGCACTGTTCGACGACCTGCGGCCCGACGCTGCGCCCCACGGCGCCGCGCCCGGGTTCCCCGCGGCCGCCTCGCTGGCGCCCTCGCCGCACGGCCCCGCCCACGGTGCGGCCGAGCTGCGCGCCGCGCGCCGCGCCTCGCGCGTGGCCGACGCCGCGCTGGGCGCCAAGGCCGCCGTGCAGGTGGGCTCTGGTGGGGAGCGTGCGGGGCAGGGGCGCATGTGCTGCCTTTCATGGGCCAGGGAGCGACGAGGCAGCTGGAAGCGGGGCATTGGGCAGTTTGGGTGGCTCAATCGGGGCAGTTTCTTCTGAGTGTGGCTCTGCCAGGTCCAGCAGATCCTGGCGCACCGCACCCCAAACGGTGCTCTCGCCTGGCGCCACATGAGAGTCATCCCTTTGTTGCACGGAGGTCATCATGTCCCCACCCGCCGCCATTACCCCCCGTTGACCTCCCACAGCTCCCATCCATACCCCCGCCCCTAACAACCCTCCTCTCCTCTCTCCTCGCCTTCTCCTCAGGCGGAGCGCCCGCTGAACGACGCACGCGCGGCGGTCCTGCTCCTGCTCATGGGCCGTTGCATCGCGGTGCCTGAGGACATGGCGGCGGTGGGCGGGCCCGCCTTCTTCGCGGGCCTGCTGCAGGAGGGCGATCCGCGCATCCGGCGCTCCGCCTCCATCTTCGTGCTGCGGCACCTCATGGCCACGCGGCGAGGGGAGTACCAGCGCGCCCTGAGGCAGGTGCTGGCCCGCGCACAGCAGGCCAACGAGGAAAGCATGGTCACCGACCCCTACCAGCAGATGAAGGCCATCCTGGACATGCAGCTGGTTGACCTGAGCCTCTGAGGCAGGAGCAGTGACTGGCCGCGGGCGCGAGCCAGAGGCGCAGCCCTGGCGGAACAGGCACCTGCCTTGCTGGGTTTTTGCGCCGGCTCCGCCCCCTGCGAGGCCCCTGCATCCCGTCACCCCTTGACACATTTCCCCACTGTACTTCCTCCCTCCCCGAGGCTGTGCATCAGACTGACTATGGTACAGCAAGGGGCGAAAGTGGGAGTCGGAGGAGGGACAGGGGGCATTGTGAATCCAGCTCTTCCTTTGAGCGCCACGGCGGTCCAATCACTATAGCATCTTCTGGAACAGGTCCAGGAGGGCCTGGTCCTGCACGAGCTCCGGCAGCTCATCCTTGGCAGCCCAGCGCAGGTCGGAGTAGGGACCGCCGGGGACGAGCCGCAACGTGCCCGCGATCATCTGGCAGCGGTGGAAAAAGGTGGTGCCCTCACCTGTCTCGACATGTCCCGCGGGGGCGTTGCCCACGAAGAAGGGCTGGAGGCCTTCCTGCACGAGCGTCAGGCCCAGCGCCCGTTCCGCACTCCCGCGAATGGTCTCGCCCTGTCGAGAGGGTGGGGATGGCGAGCCTGGCCTGAGGAGTGTCCATGCAGGACGGCGCCAGGGGCTGCACAAGCAATGCTGCCACTGCAAATGTACGGCGTACACCCTTGGGAACCCTGTGTTCACCCATACCCCATGCATGCACGCGGACAAAAAAACGGCATTGAAGGGGATGACGGCGGTGCTCAGATGGGGAAGGGTAATCGATATCGCCACCCTCGCGGAAATCCACAAGTCGGATTGAACAGCAATTGTAATTTGTCCGAAATCATCACCGCACGCCGTCGTCTACGATCAAATGGAAACTCAAGAAAAGGCAAACAAAGTGGCTAGAAACCCCGCACCCATAGTTCCACAAACCAACCCGCAGGGTGTCACTGTCGAGGCCATGGTCAGCACAAAGCAACCCCTCACCTCCTCGTGTTCCACCGCGGGGAACTCCCACGCGCCGCTGCCACCTTTTCTTCGCACCAGCATGAACACCCGCTGGTCCAGCCGTCGCTTCAGGCTGCGCACGTCGCCGCTGCGGTCCGCCTCGGACTCCAGGGGGGCGGGCTCCCACCGGTTGCTGGCCGCCACCGCCGAGTCGGTCTCCTCCGTGCGGGGCTCGTCGATGAAGTCGGCAGGGTACTTCTTGAAATAGGGCAGGTTCCACTCAAAGCGCCACCTGCTGTGCTCCACCTCCCAATCGGGGTGCGGGGGTACCACCAACTGCGGGATAGAAGATAAAGGAGATTGGTGGATGTTGTGATGAACGCAGGAACGCTGTTCCACGTGTTCTAGGCGCACAGTCCTAGCACGACCTGCAAGCACAACCTCAACCCACCGGGAGCCTCTCGAAGACGCAGGCCCCGAATACCCTTCCGGGAGCGGCAGCCTGCGAGCACATGATGTTTCAAATGTTGTAAGAATTGATTCATCGGCTAGAATTAGGTATCTGCGTCCTGTATCGCTGGGCAGGGGAACACCTCCACACCATCACACCTCGGCTATTGCTGAGAAGGCCGCCAGCCGAACCGGCTGGGGCGCACAGCCTACATTAAGTGATGAGACATGCCGGAGCGAGCTTTGAAGGGATATGGTGCGCCTGATGAGGGCTGCAGCCATCCCGAGCCCGCCGGCTGCAGCAGCGGTGAACACCAAGGAACCCCCCGATCCCACACTGCTGTCACCAATCTAGCACCGCAGCTTTGATTCTGCCAGAAGGATGCGTCTTCGATCGCTTCTCCAATGCTGGTCGTGGTGCTTGAATTTTAGTCAGGAGTTGGGTTAGCCGGCGATGGTAGCCCCCCCTCGTGGGCTAGCTGGAAAGCGGAGCATTGGAATCCTTGCAACCATCTGTGATCTGAGCTGCGACTCCAACCTCTCCGGGACACGATATTCGCCGTGTTGACGGTGTCCCATTCGAACGCACACGCCCGCAGCAAGCTTGGAGACCCCCAGTGTCAGCTTCCTACCATCTGCCCAGTGCGCGGAGTGCCGGGACTGCCCCTCTCGAACGGTCTAGGCAGCGTCGGGGAGGCAGAGGGAGTGGCCACGGCCTGGCGCCCAGCATGGCTGCTACAGTCGTCACACAATTCGAGACCGGTCACCAGGATGCGATCCACGATGCAGGTGTGCACAGTCTACGCCTCACAGGAGTGTCTTGCTGTGCAGGGGTGCACGGACACCCTCACGGACCATTCCCACCAATCTTCCCGACCACACCCTCGCACACCCTGTCCAGCCTACGATTACTACGGTAAGCGCCTGGCAACCTGCTCCAGCGATCGCGGCATCAAGGTGTTCGAGATCGAGGGCGAGCAGGTACTGGGGAGGGGGCGGGTGTCAGGTTTCTGGGCTCGCTAGCTCTTCCCAGGGCCGTCATGCCTTGCAGAGGCCTGGACTTCATATGTTGCTCTGTTCAGCCTAGTGTCAGGCTCCCCCTTCCCATGCAGCATGGCGCACCCACGTCACGGGCCATGCTTTACCCCCTCCCCTCCTTCCCACCCCCCCCACCCGGCTCCTCTCCTGAACACCACAGGTGACGCACTTGGCGGACCTGCACGGCCACGACGGCCCGGTGTGGGAGGTGGCCTGGGCGCACCCCTCCTTCGGCACCCTGCTGGCCTCCGCCAGCTTCGACGGGCGCGTGGCGGTGTGGGGCGAGGTCTCCCCCGCCTCCTGGCAGCAGGTGCACCTCTCCGCCGCGCACTCGGCCTCGGTCAATTCCGTGGCCTGGGCGCCTCCCGAGCGCGGCCTGATGCTGGCGGCCGCCTCCAGCGACGGCGCGCTCAGCGTGCACAGCGCGACTGCCGACGGCGGCTGGGCCGCGGAGCGCCTGGAAGGCGCGCACCCGCCCGGCGCCGCCGCGGTGTCCTGGTCGCCGGACGGCCTGCGCTTGGTCAGCGGCGGCTGCGACGGCGTCGCGCGCGTCTGGCGGCGCAGCGCCTCCACCGGCGCCTGGGCCCAGGAGGGTCCTGCGCTGGCCGGCCACGCTGACTGGGTGCGCGACGTGGCTTGGGCGCCGGCCCTGGGCGCGCCGGCCGCGACCCTGGCGACCGCGGGCCAGGACGGGCGGGTGTACGTCTGGAGCGAGGCGGCGCCGGGGCGCTGGGACTGCGCCCTGCTCCACGACTTTTCCCCGGCGCCCGTCTGGCGCCTCAGCTGGGCGGTCAGCGGCAACGTGCTGGCCGTCACGGACGGCACCAATGCCGTCACGCTGTGGAAGGAGGCGCTGGAGGGGCAGTGGGAGAAGCTGGGCGGCGAAACGTACGCGTGATGGAGGGTGGCATGAAGGAGGTCTGTTTATTGGGCAAGGGACCTACAGGAGGACGGTCGCGCGAGGCAGCGAGGGAGCCACGCTCCTGCCACATCGCACTGCCTGCCGAATTTGCGCCCCGCCGAGCAGTCAGTCGCCACTTTCCCTGGTGTGCTGCCCTGCGAGTGAGGTGCATGCATGCACAGTGTTGTTACACTGGAAGCCCTGGCAGCAAGTCATGGAGGAGGGTGAGAGGCCGGTTCACGTCGGGGAGAAGCGGGGTACCGCTGGAGCATAGCATGGGCGCTCAGTCAGACACAGGCTGTCAAAGGAGGACGTGGTGTCAGTAAAATGGTCGTCTGGGTCGGTGGGAGCGCCGAGATCAGCGGAGTTGGGGAGCGCGTCGGTTGGCGGGTGGAGTCAGGGGGGTTCGGATGGGTTGTCAGACATCCACCTGGTGTCTGTGGAGCCAGCAGAGGTGCCTGGGCGATGGTATGCGCACATCCTCTGTAATTATTCATCAGCATGGGGCCGTGGGGTCAGGTACCCGGCGTGGCCGTCAGGTTGACGCGGATCTGCTGGGACTCTGGGGGGGAACAGAGGGGGGATACACATTAGATACTTGGTATATGCTGAGGGGCTCTGATCCCGCCCAGGTTGGTGAGGAGGCTCTCCATCCCACCACCCTGTGTCCCACCTACAGCATCACCGCCCACCTGTGCTCCTGTCTACATGGTGCTTGAAGGACTGAGTGATTGTGGTCTGGGTCAGGGTGGGCTCGGGGCACGCAGCCACGCTCGCCAGGACATCTTCCTCTGTGATAGAGCGGAGAGGCGTTGGTAAGGGGGGTTCACGGCAATCATGGAGCCCTTGTCGAAGCCTCGGGGGGCAGAGAACCTGGGTGGGAAACAAGCCCTCTTGGACAGGGCTACTCGCCGTTCACCATACCATCAGTCACATACCGGGAACGCCCTTGGACTCGGCGATGAGGGACAGGGCCCGCAGGAAGTCCCTGAAGCCGATGCGCCGCCCGGCCTGGGCGAGTGGCGGTGGGATGGAAGCGTGACGCAGCGCTCATGTGCTCTGGAAGACGTCTTCGCTCCGCTTTGCATCTCTGCAAGGCATTGGCCAGTCCCTGCTTCGATCCCTGTCACCAGCCTCTGACCCCCACCTTGGGCTTTGCCTTTGCAAAGGCCAGCTCCACGGTCGTGACGCTCTTGGGGCCCCGCACGATACCTGCATCCCGGCACAGCTTCACCAGCCGCGTGCAGTCCATGCCGGGCTTGGCCTCGCTGGCGACAGATCCAGGCCGTGGCGGCGTGAAGCTGGGCCGGGGGGCGCCGAACGCGGCGAAGCGGGCAAATACCTGCCGCACCCGGGTCAGGAGCTCGTGGTCCTAAAGGCAATGATGGGGAGGGGAGGGGGATGGAAGTGTAGTGGGAGAGGGGACTACTAGTGAAGGTATGCTACGCCAATGCAGGTGCAAAAAGGAGTGACCCAAGGAGGCGAATGCAGGTAGCATGGTGAGGCACTTTGTTCTCAGCATAGAGGCCATTGGCCACTCTGTCTGCTGCTGAGGAGTCATGCATGCATGCATGCCAGGGCTATGATCACGATGGATCGCGCCACCAAGGTAAACCCTGGCCCGCACAACAATCAACTGACCCTACCTGGGGTGAGAGCGGGGACCTCTCAGACCTTGCGCTGTCGCAACCAGCCTCGGGGTGGGAGGAGGTGTTTGCCAGTGGTGTGCCGGGGTTGGTGTCGGCATCAGGACCTGGCAGGGGAAGCATGGATCGCAAATGAGAATCTTGCCTCTACTCCATCTGCAGTGGCAGCGTCTTGCGGCCAATATAGTATCAGTTATTGTGGCCTGAAATGTCGTCGACCCGGCTCATCCACCTGAGCAATGCCCCAATGTGCCGGGCCCCTCATGCTATCCCTCGACATGACACAGTCCCCCTCTCCCTCTCCACATCAGCACCATAGCTCACCCAGTCGGGCATTGGCCAGGAGCTGCATCACCTCCTGGACCGGCTGACCGTGCTTGTTACCCACTAGCTCCAGCGCTTCAACGAACTTTGAGGGTGGGGCCAAAGAGAGCAAAGCTTGGCAATGAGGCGGGAGTTCTGGCATGCATGCATCTGCCAAGACATTGTGTTTTCCCCCTCGCTCCTCACACCTTACACATTCCCTCAACAGCTATGTGGAACAATACCTACCTGGTCAAAGGATATGGTCCTCTCCCCCTTGCTCTTAATCTTCGCAAAAATGATGTCGAGGTCTGTCACTTGGAGGTGGCTCAGGCCAGGGCATGTCCTCACCAACTTCACAAACTGGGTGTTGGTCATGCTCTGCGAGTCGTGGCGAGGCAGGGGGAGCACTGAGCACATGACTGGTTGCATCTTGCAGCCACAGAGACCAGGCCATGATTCCAGAGCAGCATGGTCAACCTTCAGGTCTCTTGCAGTCTCACCTTCTTGGTACTGCCCGTGGCACAAGTTTCAAAGATATCTTGGACCTGAGCCATGAGGTCTGGAAGTTTGGTGGCGAGCACCTTCCTCAGTGAGGGCGCCGTCAACTGCACAGGATATTGGTGAGTACTTGGGTCCCGACGAACAAGAAAGATTGAAGCGCTTGTCAGCTTGCAGGAATTGTCAAGGGAGAAGTGACTCTGGCAATGCCATGTCCCTGCATTCAACCCTGCAAGAGCTGTTCCTTGGCACCCTCCTGGCACCCACCCACCTTGCTGTAAAGGCCTGAGAACTCGTCAAAGCTGAGCTTGCTGTCCCTGTCCTGGTCTGCGGATGTGAAGTGGCTCAGCACCAGCTCCGCAGAGTCTGTGTCAGACTTGCCCTTCTGCGAGTAGGAGGGAAGTCGGCGAGGGGGTCCGCTTAGGGGGGAACGATGGCTCTACAAACCGGCAGCTGCTCGATCGACGATGGGCCGGCACACCCCCGATGCGGCCCCTGCGCTCACCAGAAACCCAAAGTCGTCCAGGAGTCTGCGCACGTCGTCGACATTGAGGGCTCGCGAGTGTGACCGATCGTACTTTTCGAAAATGGTGTGATACCCGCCTGGGTTGCTGGGTGTTCCGACAGTCGCCATGGCCTCGCGTGGCGTCACTAGGAAATATTAATGCACAGTAATTAGTTGTTTCAGAGTAAACGAGGTAGTATTGGTCGGTAAACGTCACCAATGGCCACTTGCTCGACTGGTGCCGGGGGATGGTCAGAGCCCGTGAGGAGGGGAGGGGGGCGGGAGGTCAGGTCAGGTCTTGTAAAGTCAGCTTCGTGAGGAGCAAGTCGATGCTTGTGTCGAGTGGGGACCTCATCGCCTTCACTCGCCCGTCATGGTCGGGTCCGCTCGCCTGCGTCATGAGCTGTTCCTCGGACGCGCCATCGACCCCGGCATCCCAAGCATAGACAAGTCCGGCCAGTATTTAAATCGCGGCCCTCTCAGGCTCAGGCGCCACCACAATCGTCAAAGGATCAACGCTCCGGTAATGCACACTGTCAGGACAGGGGTTCGGTTCATGCACGCCACCCTCACGGCAGCTCCATCGCCACGCCCTCCGAGTCGCAGGCCTGGCTGGTGGCCGACCCCGCGCCGGCGGCGCTGACCCTCGCCACATACGCCTCCGCCTCCGCCTCCGGCGCGGGCGCCAGCGCCGCCGCGCCGGGCGTCTGCGGCGACCCCCCCGCCGCGCCCCCCGTCTGCATGCTGGTCGTCTGCCCGCCCTGGGTGGTGGACGTGCTAGCCCCCGCCGGGGTGGCACTGGCCACCGCGCTGACGGAGCCGGTGCCGACCACGGAGGAGGCGGCGTTGGTGCCGGTGGGGGTCACCGCCCCGGCCTGCTGCGCACCGGGCGCGGAAAAGCTGTAGCCGTTGTCCTGCGCCTGGAGGGGGGCCACGGGCACCACGCCCCCGGCCTCCAGGCCCAGGCGCCCGGCAGCCGGCGAGAAGCCGGCCAGCCCCGTCCCGCCCGTGGTGGTCACGCCGTCCTGCGTGGTGCTGGTGGTGGCGCTGCCCGGGCCGGCCACGCTGACCGCGCTGACGGGGCCGCTGCCCGCCACCGAGGAGGCAGCGTTGGAGCCGGTGGGCGTGACCGAGCCGGCCTGCTGCGCGCCGCCCTCCGCGGCGGGCACGGCGAAGGAGTAGCTGGAGGGGGGGAGGCCCCCCGTCCCCGCCGTCGTCCCGGTCAGCACCTGGGACCCCACCGCACCAGAGACGGCCGTGGCGCCGGTGGCGGAGGTCGAGTACGTCGATCCAGCTGGGGTGGAGGAGGGGGGAAGGGAGGGGAGGGTTCGTGAGTCCATGAAGTGATTGAGAAAGAGCAGAAGTAGGGCCCAGCGATCTGCCGGAGCCAAACAGTATCACAGTTTAGCAAGTCCCTCTCTTCATGGAGCAAACCACCAGCATACCATGCATGCACCCCCCAACGCCACGCCAACGCACTTGTGGCGCACTGGAAGGCACCGGAGGTCACCAGTCCACAGGTCCACACGCCCGTGGGAGGGGGGACCAGGATGCTGGCCTGCAGCTGGCAGCCGCCGAGGAAGGCGAACTGGGAGGCCACGTCGCAAGTTCCAGTGGTGTAGTATACGTTGTTGATCCTGTGGGGGGGGGAGGTTGGGGGTTTGGGGGTCTGGGGGTTTAGGGATTGGAGGGATGGGGATGGTGAGTCATGGGGCACGGGTGAGAGTTCCGTGGGAGAGAGGCATGTGAGGGCCCACCCACCCTGCGCCGCACACCCTGAAACCCCTGGCACCCCAGACCAGGTCCCCTTGCGAACTGCCCCTCCAACAATCCCGGTCCACTTGCCCGCTGGCGGATCCGGTGATGGAAGCTGTGGGGCCGCTGGGGATGACATAAGCCTTCGACAGCCCGCTGAGTTGCAGGGACACCTGTGTGCTGACGCCCACGATGTAGAGGCTCCCAGTGCCTGACGATGTGGCTGCCACGTTGGTGTAGGTGCCCTCCAGCACCACATTTCCAAGCCTGTGCATGTGTGGATGGTTTGAAGCAGCGATTTCATGATACGTGGCCAGTCACCCTGTAATCTGCTTGTGAAGCAGAGAGATGAGCATCCACACAGCACTCCTTGCCGGGTACGGCAAAATCACACTGTTCTTCTCCCCGGCATCCACTGTCACCCAGACATCCAAAATCTGACGCACCCTGCCACATCCAGGTGCACATTGGTGGCTGTGAGCCCCTGGATGTAGAGCTCCCCCGCCCCAAAGGCGCTCTTGGCGCTGAAATCGGTGGCCTGGAACCCACGTGCGATCACCACGTCAGCACCGGGTGCGTAGTGCTCCACCGCGCTCAGGGCGTCCGCGGGCAGCATGACGGTCACCTTCACCTCCTGGGAGGTGTCGATGGGTCCATTGAGCACGATGGACAGCACCTGCCCCGTGACGCTCGCGTCGATCTCGGCCAGGACCTCCGGCTCGCCACTGAGCACAATGCCATACTGGCCGGCCGGCCCGGGAAGCACCAGGGTGTTCAGGGGTGTACAGATGGAGATGTTCGAGAATGCCGTGAGGGGGATGGTCTTGGTAACCGGCGTGCCGGCCTCGGATGTCGGAACAGCCTGGCCGGCGACCACGGCCAGGACAGCGCAACCCAGCAACAGAGAGGTGACGCCCCTGGGCATCATTCTTGCGATTTAATGTGCGATAGAGAAATTAGAGGTCACTGGGTGGAGAAACAGGTGTTTCCATGGACTTGTCCGAGGATGCAAACGCGGTAATGAAACCCGCGTGGGGGTGATACGACACGCGGCACTACCCCCTTCAACATGCCCGCATGTGGTTTCGAGGAGTGTTGTAGCGGGTGACACGAGGGCGCTCCTGGTGTATAAACTCATTACATGCTGGGCCCATCTCCCATACAGGCCGCTGCTGGGGGAACGCATTGGAGCAGGTGTATGTCTCGGTACACCTCGATAGCTGCCGCCGGGTTCCGACGACAAGACCCATTGGAAGATGCTGAATGAGTGTAGTATACTGCGGTGATAATTTTACATAATCTTCCCGAACCTCGCTTCAGTGGCTTTCCATGGGCATTGCGTGCTCAAATCGGAAAACTGCGTGAGGAAGGTGGTCGGGCATGGAAAGTCTTCAGTGCCCTCCATGCAGTCTTGGTCCTTAGGATCACGCACCTGCAGCTTGCGTAATTCTATAACAAAATCGTTCACACAAAAATGAAAGGCCGATGCGCACGATGACGCTGCCGCCGCTGTGAGCGGAGATTCTCCAGATCATGAGCGGAAGTATATGTTTACAGTGCTTCCTGCTTAGTTTGCGATGACTGTCCGGTAAATCTTCAATTCTAACCCTCTACATTACATTAGTATCTTGTGGGTCTGACATCGCGCATGTATCTAGCGCCTGCGAGCAGTGTCTGGTGTTTCGCATTCCTTCCTTTCCTTCTGACCTGGGCCTCCCTGGATGCACACGCTCTGACGAGGACCTCCAGCGCCAACCCTGAAGATCTGCTTGGATGCGACTCACAAGTAGGAGTACATTCTTTCTGGAACCAGGTACAGCTGTACGCACCCCGGGGCCTCGCAAGCCGTCCGGCCAGTCATGCGTCGCCTGGTGCTCCGCAGCAGCCTGCTGGCCGTCGGGGCAGGCGCGGGGTATGCCCTGACCGGGTCATCCCTGGCCGATGCCAAGGGCGTGGCGCCCAAGCTGGCCGATCGGGTGCCCAGTCGTGAGGAGCGGCTGGCCAGCCTCGCCAAGGGCACCGCCGAGAACCCTTTTGATGTCCTGATCATTGGCGGGGGCGCCACCGGCACCGGCTGCGCCCTGGATGCCGTCACCCGGTGAGATGACCCTGCCACTGCGTGTCGAGTGTGGTTTGGTCGAGTGTCCGCGGAATGAGGCTCGCCGGGACGGCACGGTCCGGCCCGCCCGGTCCTCGCGCAGCAGGCCCCCCCAACCCACCAACCTCTGCACCCCCTTGGCCCCGCAAAACAGAGGCCTGACCACCGCCCTGGTGGAAAGGGAGGATTTCGCAGCTGGGACCAGCTCCCGGTCCACCAAGCTGGTGCACGGCGGTGTGCGCTACTTGGAGAAGGTGTGCTTGTGTCGCAGGTGGTTGTTTTTGGGGGGGGGGCTGGGCGAACCAGGAAGAGGGGGAAGGGGGGCGCTGGGCTTCTTACAACAGTTACAGGACCACACGGCTGGCCCGCCCAGTGCTCCCTGCTCGTTTCGTCCCCGACTCTTCTGGTGACACGGGGTGGCGGCGGCGAAACGCTCTCCCCTGCTTGCTCCCACACTCCCCGCACATTGTGTATGGATCACACTCCATGCCTCATCCCCAGAGCTACTCCAGCCCCAATCTGTCACTCAGTGCACCCCCTCTAGAACGGCCACTCGTTCTGCCCCTCCCTCTCCCCTCCCCCGGCCCGACCCCAGTGTCACTTGTGTCCTCACCTCCTCCCCCTCCCTCCTCCCCCTCCCCCCCCCCACTGATGCTCCCCCCCAGGCCGTGAAGCAGTTTGATTATGGCCAGTACAAGTTGGTGCACGAAGCTCTGCATGAGCGCAAGACCTTCCTGAGCAATGCGCCGCACCTGTCCCACGAGCTGCCCATCATGACCCCCTGCTACTCCTGGTGGGAGGTGCCCTACTACTGGGCGGGGATGAAGCTGTACGATGCGGTGGCGGGGGGCAAGGCCCTGTCCTGGTCCTACTACCTGGGCCCGACCAAGTCGCGCGCCCAGTTCCCCACCATGGCCGGCGACCGCCCCGACGGCAAGACGCTCAAGGGCACCATCGTGTACTACGACGGCCAGTTCAACGACGCGCGGCTGGCGGTGAGCCTGGCGGTGACCGCCGCGCTGGCGGGAGCCACCGTGGTCAACCACGCGGAGGCCACCTCGCTGATCAAGGCGCCCGACGGCCGCGTGACGGGGGCGGTGGTGACCGACGGGCTGACGGGGCGCGCGACGCGCGTGCACGCGCGCACCGTCATCAACGCGACCGGCCCCTTTGCCGACGGGCTGCGGCGCCTGAGCGACCCGGGCACCACGCCCATGATCATGCCCTCCGCCGGCGTGCACGTGACGCTGCCCGACTACTACTCCCCCGAGAACGTGGGCCTGATTGTGCCCAAGACCAAGGACGGACGCGTGGTGTTCATGCTGCCCTGGCTGGGGCACACCATCGCGGGCACCACCGACGCCGACTGCGCGGTGACCATGCGCCCCCAGGCGCGCGAGGAGGAGGTGCAGTTCATCCTGGACGCCATCGCCGACTACCTGACGGTGAAGGTGCGCCGCTCCGACGTCATGTCGGCCTGGGCCGGCATCCGGCCGCTGGCACTGGACCCCAACGCGGCCGACACCGCGTCGGCCTCCCGCGACCACATCGTGACGGTGGACCCCGACGGCATCATCACGGTGACGGGCGGGAAGTGGACCACCTACCGCCTCATGGCCCAGGACGCCATCGACCGCGTGCTGCGCGAGCGCGGCGCGGCCGCGGGGCCCTGCGTCACCGCCGCGCTGCCCCTGGTGGGCGGCGCCGGGTTCTACCCCGGGCTGTTCACTGAGGTGGCGCAGACCTACAAGGTGCCGCACCGCCCGGGCGCCATCGACACCAAGATCGCCAAGTACCTGGTGGAGTCCTACGGCGACCGCGCGCACGAGGTCACGCGCATCGCCGAGGAGCGGCGGCTCGGCCGGCGCCTGGTCCAGGGCCACCCCACGCTGGAGGCGGAGGTGGTCTACGCCGTGCACAACGAGTTCTGCGAGACGCCCGAGGACTTTGTCGCGCGCCGCACGCGCTTCGCCTTCCTGGACAAGCGCGCCTGCGAGCAGGCCCTGCCCAGGGTGAGCGAGCGTGTGGGGGGGTGCCTGGGTGGTTGGTGGTGTGCAAGGGGGGTCCGGAAGTGTTGCACCACCCCTGCAGGCCTGCCCCCACGCTCCTCCCCTCACACACTCCAATATTCAACACACGCGCGCCCAACAAGCCCCCCACACATATACGAACATAACAACAGGTGGTGGAGCTGATGGCGAAGGAGAAGGGCTGGGGCAGGTGGAAGGCCGCCGCCGAGCTCAAGCGCGCCCTGGAGTTTATTAAGACCTTTGACTCCCCGGACCACCCCGCCTTCGTGCCCACTGCTTGAACGTGCCGATCGCCAGGAGTTTGCCTGGCGCCCTGCCTAGATGAATGGCTGCCCTTCCAACACTCCAGCCGGCCAGTGAAATGAAGTGGGACGTCGGTGGGAAACCCCCCCGGTCCGCCCCCGTCCCCCCCCTGTACCCCTTGCTTCCTCAGAATGTCCCACTTTGCATGCATGCCCTGTTTTTCAGAACCCCAGCAACAATCATGGATGAGTTAGAGTGACGAGGGTGTATGGCTGAGTCTTGGTGGTGACTCGTGGGTAGCCAGCGCGGCGCCCCATCTGCACGCAGCCTGGTTAACATCTCACCCTCTCGACCCAGGCCCTTGGTCTGCCATTGTCAAGTTCTGCTACACCCGGCCTGGTGCCGGCCGTCCAGCACAGCTGGGCAGCCAGCCAGTGAGACTCATGCCCTCCCGGCACCTTGTGGCATGCACGCCCGGGTCATGGAGGTCTACATCGTACGCATTCAACATTTGAGAGGGTTGGGGGGGGGGGGGGGCGGCTCAACCCCCAGGCGATGCCCCTGCCTGGGGCACTTGGAAGGGGTGTGGGGGCCCAGCAGCGAGCGCGTACGCCACCTGTCCGGCTGGCGCACCATGAGGCCACTCCCTCTCCCCCCTCCTCCTCCTTTCCCCCCCCGCCGCTCAGTTGAGCGCGTCCACGATGACGCGGCGAGACTTGACGGGCGCCCACTTCCAGCGCTTGTAGTAGATGGTGGTGGCCAGGACCAGGGCCAGCACGCCGATCCACTTGGCGCCCATGAGCTTGCGCTCGTCCAGCTCCGGCTCGGCGGCCCAGGCCAGGAAGGTGACCACGTCCTTGGCCTGCTGCGCCTCGGTGGCAGGCGTGCCATCGTCGTACTCCACGCCCTCGTCGTTGAGCATCTTGGGCATGGCGATGGCGCCGCCGGGGAAGTAGGGGTTGTAGTACAGACCCTCGCGCACAGAGATGCCCTCCGGCGGCTCACGGTAGCCCAGCAGGAGCGAGAAGACATAGTTCTCGCCGTTGTGGCGCGCCTTGGTGATGAGGGAGAGGTCGGGCGGGTAGGCGCCGCCGTTGGCGTACCGCGCGCCCTCCTCGTTGGCGTAGGGCTGGGGCAGCTTGTCCGACAGGCGGCCGGGGCGGTCGAACATCTCGCCCTCGTCGTTGGGGCCGTCTGTGAGTTGTGTTGTTGGGAGGGGGAGGGGCATGAGGTGTGTGGGGGGTGAGGCGGCAAGAAGCGGAATGGCATGCATGCACAGGCACGCAAATCCCTGGATCCAACCCTGCTCTGAGCTGAGTGTGCCTGCTCGGCGCATCCCCACCCACACTTCCACTGAAAACAATCTACCTCCAATGCACGACATTAAACAAACAGAAAGAAAACAACCTCAAACCGCGTTGCTCACCCTGGACCTCGATCTCGGCGGCCATCTCCTTGACCTCCTCCTCGGTGTAGGCGACGTCCACCAGGTTGCGGAAGTGCAGCTGGTTCACGGAGTGGCACGTTGCGCAGACCTGGGTGTACACCTGGTACCCGCGGCGGATGGCTCGGTGGTCGAACGAGGAGAAGAAGCCCTCGTGGCTCCACTTCTGGTTGGGCGCATCCAGCCCGTGCTCCGCCTCGTCGGCCATGGCGGCGGTGGCGGTCAGCGCCAGCACGCCGGCGCCCACGCCTGCGCCGGCCGCAGCACGGGACCAGCCCTGAGAGCTGCCCGCTGCATCGGCCTGGCTGTGGATCCCGGCCTGGGACAGGCCCGCGGTCAGCCCCGGGAGGTTCTGCGCGAGGTGGTAAGGGTTGGTTCACGGGATCGGGATGAGGCGAGGCGCGGGGTTTGGGACGTGTGGACAGGCAGTGCAGGCACCACGCCCACGGGAGGGGGAGCGACCGGGGGACCAGGTGCTCAGCGAGGACCAAACCGACTTTCGACCCGATGCCATCGACATCCCTGGCGCACCTGCGACAGCCGGCTCGATCCGCTCTCGCTGGTCTGCAGGCCACAGCGGATGGCCCGCACCAAGGCCCCTCCCGCAGAGCGCATTGCAACCCTTGCTCTCCTCTACGTGGCTCCACCCTAGAAGGAGAAATGCACACGATACGAGCTACGATGACTGTGCGAACTGTGGTCTGGAGGGGGGCAGGCCATGTGCACCGCTGAACGGCGAGGCACCCTTAGTAACCCGGGATCAACCATCGCCGCTTACGCTCTGGCGAATTTTGCAGGCTCAGCCCCAGGCATGGCAGGGTTCTCCGCGCGGTCCATATCGTGCCACACCGCACGACTCCCTCGTAGAAGGCGAGTCCCTGTGCATTTATTCGTCCGGGGAATTTGGGGCGGGTCGCCTGTGTCACCGGGGAGCAAGGGGCCCACGATGCTGCAGAGGTCCGGCAGCAGAGCCGCGGAGCATGTTCGCACATGGTGAGTTTGCGGCGATTTCGATAGCATGGTGAATCCGGTTTCGGGTCCTGATGGCCTGTGGGGGGGAGGGGTCCATCAAGTGTCCACTGAGCATACCCCTCCCCCTCACGTCCCTGTGCAGCCTGCGCGCTTATAGCTCCGCCCCGGAGAAGACCAGCTTCGGCGGCTTGGAGGACAAAGACCGCATCTTCACAAACATATATGGTCGTCACGACCCGTTCCTGAAGGTGCGGGTGTCTCCCAGGAATCCGTGTGGTCAGGCTGACTTGATTTTGAGGAGCAGGAGGGGCTGAGGAGATGCCCTGCTGTGTTGGTGTGGGCCAGGTGGGATGTTAACCCTGGGGTCAGACTTCCCTCATCCTGCGAGTACCACCCACTGGTCCAACCCTGTCAGGGTGCGGAGAAGCGTGGGGACTGGCACCGCACCAAGGATCTGGTGAGCAAGGGCGCCGACTGGATCGTGGACCAGATGAAGAAGTCGGGCCTGCGCGGCCGCGGCGGCGCCGGCTTCCCCTCTGGCCTGAAGTGGTGCGTGGATGGACTGACTGATTGGGGGTGGGGGGGGGGAGAGTGATGTGCTGTGTGCTTTCCCTGTCTGATTTCCATCTGTACGTCGCTGGCTGGGAGGTGGATGCTTGATGGCGGTCCCTCCCCCCCCTGCACAACCCCTTCTCCCCTCACACACGTCACACCCCTGCTTCACAGGTCCTTCATGCCCAAGGTGTCTGACGGCCGCCCCGGGTACCTGGTGGTGAACGGCGACGAGTCGGAGCCGGGCACGTGCAAGGACCGCGAGATCATGCGCCACGAACCCCACAAGCTGGTAGAGGGGTGCCTGATCGCGGGGACGGCCATGCGCGCGCGCGCCGGCTACATCTACGTCCGCGGCGAGTTCGTGGCGGAGCGCCTGGCCCTGCAGCGCGCTATCGACGAGGCGTACGCGGCGGGGTACCTGGGCCGGGACGCCTGCGGGTCGGGCAAGGACTTTGACCTGGCGGTGCACTGGGGCGCGGGCGCCTACATCTGCGGCGAGGAGACCGCGCTGATCGAGTCGCTGGAGGGGAAGCAGGGCAAGCCGCGGCTGAAGCCGCCCTTCCCCGCCAACGTGGGTCTCTACGGCTGCCCCACCACCGTGACCAACGTGGAGACGGTGGCGGTGAGCCCCACCATCCTGCGCCGCGGCCCCGAGTGGTTCTCCGGCATGGGGCGCAAGAACAACCACGGCACCAAGCTCTTTGCCATCTCGGGGCACGTCAACCGCCCCGTCACGGTGGAGGAGGAGATGAGCATCCCGCTGCGCGAGCTGATCGAGCGCCACGCCGGCGGCGTGCGCGGCGGCTGGGACAACCTGCTGGCCGTCATCCCGGGCGGCTCCTCCGTCCCGCTCCTGCCCAAGCACGCGTGCGAGGACGTGCTGATGGACTTTGACGCGCTCAAGGAGCGGCAGTCGGGCCTGGGCACCGCCGCGGTGATCGTGATGAACAAGTCCACCGACGTGATCGAGGCCATCGCGCGCCTGTCCTACTTCTACAAGCACGAGTCGTGCGGGCAGTGCACGCCGTGCCGCGAGGGCACCTCCTGGCTCTACGACGTCATGACCCGCATGAAGGCGGGGGATGCGCGGCTGGAGGAGATCGACATGCTCTGGGAGCTGACCAAGCAGATCGAGGGGCACACCATCTGCGCGCTGGGCGACGCCGCGGCCTGGCCCGTGCAGGGCCTCATCCGCCACTTCAGACCCCTCATGGAGCAGCGCATCGAGCAGGCCGCCGAGGAGCTGCAGCGCATCGCCGCCTGATGGGCAGGGTTGATTCTTGGGGAGGGGGGGGCGGGATGATCATCGTACAGGGTGAGGGGCCAGAGGCTCCCGGGCTCGCCATGGTACTGCGCTTGCTGCCCAGCCACTCGCCCTCTCTTAACGAAATGTTGACACTGTGGAATCACGGCAGCTGTAATGCACCAAGTAGAGATGTTGTTAAGATGGGCGGTGCAGAGCTCGCGACCAGAGAACCCCGCATGCGTAGCAGCAGGAGGGCGGAAAACCGTTACTGCGCGGAATGTCGACAGGCGGGCAATGCGGTGGTTCCAAGCCTCACGACAGTCCAATTAGCAGTCTTAACAACTTTTCAACAGCATACCAAAGTCCCACAACGTCCAAGCAGTGAGAAGGTGCGGAACACGGTGAGCGATCCACCCCCCAGGGTGCGTGTCGGTGCAACCCAAGCATGTGGTCGCCCATGCGCCGCTGCGTCGAATGCATCATTCATGGCAGTGCATATGTGGTGATTTAAGCAAGGTGGGTCGGCCCCCCATGCCCTCCTCGCCCAGATCTGATCCCCGCCGTCCCCACCAACCAACACGCCGCAGCTACCCATGGGTCGCCAGCGACCCGACACGCGCGCACGCGTGTCGAAAGCGTGCAAGTTCCTGGGCATATGCATGGTCATCCTCATCGGTGAGGGTTGGGCGGCGTGAAGAAAGGAACTACAGCCTGCATTCCGACGGAGCCGGGCATGTGGGCGCCCTCCCCCCCAGCTTCCACTGCACCACCACCGCCCTCCCACCAGGTCCCGTGCTGGCCGTGTCTTCCCAGCGCAATGCGCTGCTCCTCCTGGCCGCCTCGATCGACACCACCGGCGTCCTGAACTGGTCTGTCAACACAGCGATGTGCAGCTGGACCGGGGTCACTTGCAACGCTGCCGGCTCCGTCACCACCGTGTGAGTGTGCTCAAGGGGCCTGAGGGATACTGATGTCGCCTGGGCTTGCCAGGGCGGGGACAGGCCACACAGCCCACCATCTGGACATCCTCCATGCGTATCAGTGGCTTGTTTCCCAGGTTCCCTCATCCCATCTTGAGACTTGGATTCCCTGTGCCAACCATGATATTGCTCCCCTTCCATTCCTGAACCAGGGACCTCGATGGGCTGGGCCTCATGGGGCAGCTCCCCGTGGATGAGAGCCTGTGGCAGGAGCTGGACACCATCACGAATCTGAACCTGGCCAACAACGACCTGAGCGGCCTGGTCCCGGCCCAAATCTCCCAGCTCACCAGCCTGCACTACCTGAGCCTGGCAGGGAACAGACTGACGGGTGCGGCGCGGATGCCTGGGGATGCATGTTGCCTGCTGAGGGACTGGGGTGCGCTGGGGAGCTTGGTGATCTGTTGCCTCGAAGCCATGCCTGGTGCTGGATGGGAGGGCAAGGGTTGCTTCCAAGGGAGAGCACAGCTTCTTTCCCAGGGTCAAGGCCATCATCAGACTAACCCGGACACCCCACGCCGCTGCGCGCACCCCGCACCTGACGCGTGCGCCCCCACCCAATCCCCCACCTCCTGACCTGTGTGCTCTCTTTCCTCCTGTCCCCCCATCCCTCAGGGTCCCTGCCCAGCACCTGGAGCAGCCTGAAGGACCTGGTGGGGCTGGACGTCTCCCACAACCGCATCAGCAACACCCTGCCCTCCACTTGGGGTGACCTGATCGCCCTCAAGGTGTGCGTCTGTGCTGGGACTCCTCTGTCTGGAAAGAGATGCCTGAATCAGTGGTTGCAGGGTCGAATGCGGGACACTGCCCTGTACCTTCTTCCTCGTCCCCGCACATGACAATACACTGGGGCTCCGGATTGCCCACACATCGTGAGACGCTTGGGCACCGAACCTTCTCCTGCCTCCTTTCCTCACATGGCTGCACCCCTCCTTGATCGCACAGGCGCTGGACCTGAGCTCCAACAGCCTGTCCGGCGGCATCCCTTACTCCTGGACCGCCCTGAACCTCAACGCGCTTTCCCTGGCGGGCAACTCCGGGCTGTGCGCCAGCGGCGCTGTCTTCTCCCCCAAGCCCGACGTGTACTATGCCTCGTGCCTGGACTCCTCCCCGACCCTGCCCGGCATCAACCCCACCTACATCTCGCCCCCGCCCCAGCCGATGGTATGGAGCGGGGCGGCGTGGGGGAGAGTGGCTGGGAAGCTGGCTTGGTGCTCTGCTGGCTTGCATGCCCACACCTGGGGAGTGTGTGGCAGGCATGTCGGCATGCATGGCAGCAGCCGCCAGGCGCTTCGACCTGCTCCTCACCCCTTTCGATTCATCCCCATGCAGGCGTCGCCCCCTCCCGTCGTGTTCCCTCCCCCGCCCTCCCCAACCCTGTCCCCGGGCCAGCCCTCCCCCCCCGCCTCCCCACCCCCACCCTGGACACAGCCTCCCCGCGTGCCCATCCCCAAGCCAGTGAACCCCCCCTCCCCGCCGTCCCCACCCCCCTCGCCACCCACGAAGGCGTCCCCGCCGCCCCCGCCCCAGCGCGCCTCCCCGCCGCCTCACCGACCCCCGCCCCCGCCCGCCTCCCCAGCCACCGCGCCCGAGCCCAGCCCCGCCGTGCCCGAGCCTAGCCCCGCCGTGCCCTCGCCCTCCGTCGCGCCGGCCCCGGCCCCGAGCACCGAGCGCTCCCCGCCCCGCCGCCCAGCCACCCCCCCCGCCCCCCGCACGCCCCACCACCTACAGCAGCGTGACGCTGCAGGTCACGGGGGCGAGCGTGGAGGGCTTCAACACCAACACCTCCATGGTGACGGGGGTGAAGGCCATCTGGAGTGGGCTGGCCTCTGTGCCCGAGGACTGGACGGAAGTCGCGGCCAGCTCCCAGGCGCGCGCGTCGGCCGGGCGCCGCCTGATGGCAGACATGCCCATCTACCTCCTGTCCACCGTGAGTGGAGGGTGCAGGGTCCTGGTGGGCGTGGGATTCCGATTGCAAGTGCGGGCCCTGAGTGCTGGTGGCATGCCGGCTGCAGGGTCTGCCCGGCGCATGTGAAGTCGGCACCGGCCTAGACAGCGGGCCCCGCTCTGTCCATCGCCGGCGTGTTCGAGTCCGTGCCGGCGCGGTGGCCCCGACGCCTGCATCAACCTGCATCCCCCACAGATCTTCACGGAGGACCCGAGCGCCGCGTCGGCCTCCATCTCCGCCGCGTCGGCCAACGGCACCCTGGCCGCCGAGCTCGCCGCCCTGGGCCTGACCCTGGTCAACGGCACGGTGGTGGTCCTGAACTCCGTCGACTCCTCCAGCACCAGCAGCAAGGGCGCGCTCATCGGCGGCATCGTCGGCGGCGTGCTGGGCGCCGTCCTGCTGGTGGCGGGCGGCTTCTTCGCCTGGCGGTGGCACAGGTCCCGCTCCCAGGCCGGGGCGGGGGGCGCGGCCTTCTCCTCCAAGAACGCCGCGTTTGAGGAGTCGGAGGGCGTGGAGAAGGTGGCGGGTCCCGCGGGCGTCGCGGGGGCCGTGTACGACGTCCCCGGCACGAGCAAGGCGGAGGGAGGTGGGTGGCGGGGGGCGGATGCTTGGGCCTCGAGGATGGAAGGCCTGGGTGGGGTGCGCCGGCGCGCCTGTCACGGCCCGTGCCAGTGCCCTGCCGGCGCTGGTCTGCAGTGCCCGGACCCCCCGACCCCCGACCCGCCATCACACCCACCGCAGAGTTTGCCAACCCCATGTATGGCGGCGCCGAGGAGGGCGCCAAGCCCGCCAACCCGGTCTACGACTCCGGCGACAGCCCCCTGGCACCCGCGGCCGGCGGCTACCCTGGCGCCGCGGGCACCGCCGGACCCAGCGGTGAGACGCGCGGAGGGAGGCTGGGGGTTGGGTGGGTGCGATGGGAGCGGTGCTCGGTCCTGCATGTTACCCTGCCCGTGGCGTGGGCATGGCACGGCTCCACCACATCTGCCCCCCCCTCCCCCCTTTCATACTGCAGACTTCACCAACACGGCGTTTGGGGAGGGACTGGACACGCCCAAGGGCGACACGGTGCCGTCCAACCCCCTCTTCGACACCAGCACCAGCCAGCTGTCTGGCCCGGGAGGAAAGGCTGAATACGACGACACCAAGGAGGCACCCGTGGCGGCAGTTGCAGGTGGGGGCCGGATGGTGGGGCATGGGCGGGGGTGGTGTGTGGACGCAACGGCTGGTGGTGGGACGTGCCTGCGGCCGCAGGTAGTGCCCTGCATGGGGCCGCGATCGCCTGTCCCGTCCGTCAGCCGAGGCCGCAGCGCCTCCCGTGCACAATGCCCAGACTCCCCTCCGTCCCCTCCACAGACTTCTCCAACCCCGCCTTCGCCGATGCGGGGATGCTGGACACGCCCAAGGGCGACGACGGCGCCGGGCCGGGCGCCAACCCGCTCTTCGATTCGCAGACCAGTCAACTGTCCGGCCCAGAGGAGGGCCAGAACTATGCGGCCGGGGACAAGCCAGGCTCGCGGTGAGTGACCCTGGCGGAGCGTGTCTGTGTTGCTGGAGGCTGTCGACCAGGCTGCGCACCGCTGATACTAGGCCAGCGCCAACCGTCCAGTCCCACCATCATCGATCCTCCCACAGGCCCAAGGCACAGACTCCCCAGGCCTGGCCGCCAGCCAACCCCCTGTTCGGGAGCGATGCTGCCAAGGTGCGGGCGGTGACCTTCACCGAAGGGAGGGAGGGGGCGGGTGGGGCTCTTGTATGCCCAGTGATTTAGATGTGCTGGCTGGCCCTGCGTGTGGATGTGATCGCTGGGCACCACGCAAGCTGGACACATCCCTCGTTGCAGGAGGAGACAGGGAGCAACCCCACCTTTGAGGGCTGACAGGCTGTTGGAGATTCAAGCGGGCCCCGGTACCTGACAAAAGGGACCCCCCACCTCCCTCTCCATCGCCATCTGGGTGAGATCTTCGGGAGGCAAACCCCTTTTCCCAGCGGCGCGCGCTAGACCGGAACAACCTTCGACAAGTCTGACACGCTGCTTGCATGACGGTTACTTGATCTACACATGAGACATTGACCTGATTCTCTCTGCTTACTTTGACTGGAATGTAAACGTTAGGGCACGAGCAACCATGCTGGGAGGGCTGTTCGGTGCACTCCCACCCCCCAAGCAGGCCTCCTCCAATACCGCTCAGGCAATAACAGAGGACACTAAAAGAACCAGCACGCATGATGTAGGCGTTCCGGGACCCGCATTGATCAAAAGGTCCCGCGTCGAGGCGGCATCACCTCCCCACTCCCGGATCTCTGTCGAGGCGGCGAGCAGCGAGGATGCGGGGTGCCGGCCCAGCATGGAGGGTGCGTCCAGGGTGGAGGAAAACCCCCTCATGAGTTTGTTGTATGGAATAGGGTATCCTTCACGATGCACGCGTGCATAGTGCCCTCTGCACAGAACGAGATCCAGGCATAGATGCTAGCTCAGGTACCTTCTCCCCACAGATGTCGCCGTGATCAAGCCCGCCGATGGTGACGGGTGAGGGGGGGGTGCATGCGTGACGGTCCGATTCAGCGTTTCCAGCTTGTTCGGACCTGATAATCACACCTCCCACACCGGAACGTGTCCACCCACCGCCCCACCCCACCACCTCTAGCAGGCCCGGCTTCTACGCCGTGTTTGACGGGCACGGGGGCGTAAATGTGGCCCGGCTGGCATCCACGCTGCTGCACGAGGCGGTGCTGGCGGCGGGCCTGGCGAGGCTGTCGGGCGAGGCCGGGCTCGGGCCTGGCGCCATGGACCGGGCTCGCGCCGCGAGGGCCGCGGTGATCGAGGGCTACCGCGCCGCGGACGCGGCCATCCTGGCCCGGTGTGGGGAGGAGGGCTGGCGCGACGGCGCGGCCGCGGTCACGCTGTGGACGCTGGGCGGCACCGTGGTCGTGGCCAACGTGGGGGACGCCCGGGCGGTGCTGGCCCGCAGGCCGTCGAAGGGAGAGGGCTCCACAGCGGCGGCGGAGGCTGGGGATGGAAGCGCAGACACGAATGGTGTGCCCACCGATGTCCTGGTTGAGGCGCCTGACGCGAGCCCTGCCCCTGCTGACACCGACGTCGGAGCGGCAGACGCCAGCGCTGCCCCCGCCGTCGCCGGCACCGCTGCTGACACGGACGAGGAGGAGCCTGCCCGAGCCGGCGCCACGCCCCTCGCTCTGCATCACGCCGCGCCGCACGACGCCCACGACCGCGGCATGCCCGGCGGGCAGCGCGACGCCGGCCCCGGATCCGGACCTCCGACACCCACAAGGACCACGCTGCGCGCGCTGACGCTGACGAGGGAGCATCGCGCCGTGCTGCCGGCGGAGCGGGCGCGGATCGAGCGCGCCGGCGGCTGGGTCGGGCCCGACGGGCGCCTGCTGGGGCGCATCGAGCTGTCGCGCTCGCTGGGCGACGCGGCCTTCAAGCGGCGTGGCATGTCGGCCGCGCCGGACGTTGCCGTGTTCGAGGCTGGGGGGCGCGATGTTTTCCTCCTCCTTGGCTGCGACGGGTTCTGGGGTGAGGAGGGGTGGGGGGGGGGCAATGCACCAGCAGGAAGACCATGTGGGTATCGCACGAGCCTGTGGTGGTCATTGCGCAGGGTGAGAGGGGCATCGCATGGCGTGAGGACCCTGCCGTGTGGTCATGGAGTGCTCCCTGGGTGGGCAGGGAGGCGAGGGGGGAGTGCATGCCACATGCCAGGCCCCTGTGGAGGCCCGCGCTGCACCCCGCAGGACGGCTGGCTTCCTCCCACGCCTGTTGCAGCTCTGCACAGCATCCCGGCCTGGGCCTCGCCGGCCCCAGATCACGAGCCTGTCATCCTCTTCCCACTCACAACACCATGGCAGGGGTGTTCTCCGCCCAGGAGGCGGTGGACCTGGCGGCGGCCCAGCTGGCCGCCGGCGCGGGCCCCAAGGCCGCCTGCAACAGGCTGCTGCACGAGGCCGTCCGCGTGCGCGCCTGCCGCGACAACTGCACGGTCATGCTGCTGGTCCTGGCGCGGGATCGGCCTGCTGTCCGCTAGGCCCCTCGCCGCCAGGCCCCAAGCACAGCACGCCGCAGTTCTCCAGCGCGTATTGCCTGTGGTGCGCCAGGCCCGGCCCCAGCACGGCCGCCGCCAGGATGGAGATGGAGTCGCCGTGCGCGACCAGGATCACGCTGCGCCCGCTGTGCTCGTCCTCCAGGCGCCGCAGCAGCGAGGTGGCGCGGCGTGCCACCTCCGCCACCGACTCCCCGGTGCCTGAGGTGGTGGGAGAGGGGGCCGAGGGCGTGTGGCCTGTGCCTGTCGGCAGCGGCAAGGCGGGAAGCCGCCGCGCACGGCGCCAGCGCTGCCGCGGGACCGCACAGCCTGCCCCCCTCCTCCGATGTTGCGAGGGCCCCAGCCCCCGTACCCCCGGCCTTGTAGTCCGTGTCTTCGGCGTCGCGCGACCACTCCGCGAGGTAGCTGGCGTCGGAGCCGCCGTCCAGGGCGCCAAAGTCCCGCTCGCGAAGCTCGGGCGCGGGCTGTGCTGGGCGAGTGGCCGGGTGTGGGCGGGGGACCGGCACGAGCTGTCGAGGTGGCATGCATGCCCGGTTCAGGACCTCGGGTTGCCACGCAACACCCATGCCTAAGCCCTCGCGCCACCCTGATTCTGCGCCTGCACCTGCACCGCGACGTCATGCCCAAGCCTCTCCACGATCAGCTGTGCGGTCTGCAGTGTGCGGGAGAAGGGGGACGCAAGCACCAGCGGGGCCTGGGGCTGCTGGCCCAGGCGCTCCCTGAGTGTGTCCCTGGGAGGAGAGGAGATGAAAGCGAACAGAGTCTTGACATCCCAGAGGCAGGGAGGAGGAGCCAGGCATTGGTGGTCCAGAATGACGAGCGACCAAGACGCGGGCTGATCACCCTTGATACTCCGGCCAGGCCCTCAGGTCCACAGCGGGGCCTCACCCGGCTGCGTGCGCCTGCTGCTTGCCCAGATCGGACAGGCCCCATTCCTCCAATGTGCCCGCCTCCTGAAAGAGGAATACCAACGGAAGATGATGGGCAGAATAGATGGACTGATTACGTAGGTCGACCAAGCCTGCATTCAACACCAAACATCCTCGAGTCACCACCCCGGGACGTACCAAAGTGCTCACGATCTTCCCCGCCTGATTGGCCAGGCTGTTACCGTGCCGCACGAGATAGTAGGTATTATGAAGCTCCATGTCGATTTGTGGTATACTATTGGGTGGTCTGTGGCGAGGGCCTGCCGTTTATGTGGAGCCGAGTGCTAATGCGTCCTGCTGCTGATCAGGACTCGCGGCTCACCGGAGCGAAGGATCAATGTCACCCAGTCTCAACACCCTAATCACCGTGTTACACGCAGGGAGTAGATGTCGGCCTCGATGAAAAGCATTCAGCCCCAATCGGATCAAATGTTGAGAGAAGGTTGATGGTGAGCATCGTTCGGTCCCGAGGGATTGTTCCTCTGTGTCTGTCAAGCAGGCATGACAAAGTGAAAACAGCCTGAGGAAGGACGGAATTTTGCAGGCTGGACCCAAAGATGGACCGCCGAACCGACAGGAAACGGGAGGCAAGGGGACATTACAGCAACAGGCAGCGTGCTGGGATTGATGGAGTAAGTTCAACTGAAAATGCTGGTAGAACTCCCGGCGGACGATACCTGGCCCCCTAAAGTGGTCCCATAGCAGCTGAGCTGGGAGGCCGCATTGAAGGTGGCTTGTGCAGTAGTGACTGATAACAAGGTGATCCTCCTTGCATTCCCTGGGGTTTCCACGGTTATGAGCTTGCTGCCCTGGCTGTCCTTGAGCGAGCAGGAGATCGTAGCTGCAGCAAAGGTGGTCGTCACCTGAACGTTGAGGATGTAGTAAAGGTAGGGTGTAAAGGTAGCCCCGGCGTACACAAGGGGGGGATCCAGGACGGTCCCTGGGGATGGGGAGGGGCTAGACGAGGTGCTGGGGCTGGCGCTAGGGCTGGGGCCTGCTGCAGGGCTGGGGGTGGGAACGGGCGAGGGCAGGTTGCAGCCGATGCCGAGGAGCGTGGGGTCCCTTCCAGCCACCGCCACCTCGTCGATGGTACCACCAGCGGAGGTTGTGCATTTTCCGGAGGCCTATGGAGGTGCGTGGGCGGATGCGAATCCCTTAGATGAGCACTGAGGGAGTCACCTGTGGAAGCCAGTCTGCGAGAATCCTCACAGCCTAGAGCCGAGAGCTCACCTGAGCGCCTGCCTCGTCCGCTGAGGCTCTCCCTTCAGCAGAAGCGGTCAAAGCGCCGCGAAGACTGCCTCCAGCCAGACTGGCTCCGATGAAGGAGGAGGAGACCTCCTGGTCGCCTGCGGTCCCGCTGAATGCCCCCGACACCTCAGCACGCACCGCGCCGTCGCTGGATGCCTGGAGATGACATGGAGGGCAACAGCTTGTAAGCACAGGCCCTCGACAGGTGTCAGGATATGTCCCATCTGTATGAGGCTCTCGTCCTACCTCTCCCGACCCTTTGCCAGTGATTATGGCGCCTGTGTCCGAGCTCGTCGCAGACGCGGACGATCCAGCATTCGCACCGACACCCTGAGCAGATCCATAGGCTTCCCCACTCGCCACGAAGATCGGTGGCCCTGAAGTAGGACTGGGGAAAGTGGGGAAAGCCATGAATGCTTTCTGATCGTACTGGGGTACTGCGGGCCTATACATGGTTGGCAAATGATCGTGACTTGGCACATAGGCCACTTACGACCATGCCGTGCATCCGGCGACAGCCAAATGCGCGTACCCTATTGTATGAAATGAAGTTCTGTACCTGCTTACAAAGGCTCCTGTACATGTAATGCTCCTGCACAGTACCGCGACAACAAGCACTCGTAGTTTTGGACAATGGTCGTGGACTGCGGATGCAGGTGCCAGTTGGACCCACCAACATGCCGTGAGCACGGTTTGTCAGAGCACGAGTCGATTGTAAGACACGATGTATTGGGTCGTTGAGGTGCTTAAGGGTAAACATGGGTCCTGCCGACCACAATTCGAGGCTCAACGGTGAGGTATCACAAACTCTGCCAGTCTCAACAATTGCATCGTCCCTTTATAGCAGGAGTTACTTCATGGCCTCAATGAGAAGCATCCGGCCCCATTTGCATCAATCGAAGGGAGAAGGGTTGATGGTGGCTTTTGTTAAAGCTTGGAATTAGTCTTTATAATTGGCAAGCAGGCATGACTAAGCACAAAGAGGCTTGGGGCAGGCCACCATCTGCAAACTCAGACTGAAGATGCGTCGCAGACTTGACAAGGAGTATCTGAAAGGAGCCTGCTGAACCAACAATCACTGCGTCAGTCTGTATCGAGGGAAGGGGTGCAAGCTGGAAATGCTATTGCGGCACGGCGGTGGGAGAGTCCTGCCCTCCGGCAGTTGTTGCAAAGCATGTGAAAGAAGCGGCTGCAACGAAAATTGTTTCTTCTACGTCCAGGGAAAACGATGTGGTCCTCGATGCATCCGCTTGGACAGTCTCGATCTGCAGCGTGACGCCCTGGCTGTCCTTGAGCGAGCAGGAGATCGTAGCTGCAGCAAAGGTGGTCGTCACCTGAACGTTGAGGATGTAGTAAAGGTAGGGTGTAAAGGTAGCCCCGGCGTACACAAGGGGGGGATCCAGGACGGTCCCTGGGGATGGGGAGGGGCTAGACGAGGTGCTGGGGCTGGCGCTAGGGCTGGGGCCTGCTGCAGGGCTGGGGGTGGGAACGGGCGAGGGCAGGTTGCAGCCGATGCCGAGGAGCGTGGGGTCCCTTCCAGCCACCGCCACCTCGTCGATGGTACCACCAGCGGAGGTTGTGCATTTTCCGGAGGCCTATGGAGGTGCGTGGGCGGATGCGAATCCCTTAGATGAGCACTGAGGGAGTCACCTGTGGAAGCCAGTCTGCGAGAATCCTCACAGCCTAGAGCCGAGAGCTCACCTGAGCGCCTGCCTCGTCCGCTGAGGCTCTCCCTTCAGCAGAAGCGGTCAAAGCGCCGCGAAGACTGCCTCCAGCCAGACTGGCTCCGATGAAGGAGGAGGAGACCTCCTGGTCGCCTGCGGTCCCGCTGAATGCCCCCGACACCTCAGCACGCACCGCGCCGTCGCTGGATGCCTGGAGATGACATGGAGGGCAACAGCTTGTGAGCACAGGACCTCGACAGGTGTCAGGATATGTCCCATCTGTATGAGGCTCTCGTCCTACCTCTCCCGACCCTTTGCCAGTGATTATGGCGCCTGTGTCCGAGCTCGTCGCAGACGCGGACGATCCAGCATTCGCACCGACACCCTGAGCAGATCCATAGGCTTCCCCACTCGCCACGAAGATCGGTGGCCCCGAAGTAGGACTGGGTTAGGAGGGAAGGAGCCATGAGCTTCGTATATCGTACCGACATTCTGCGGGCTGACGCATCGTGTACGGCTGACCGGGAAGTCGCACCGAGCCTCTGCGCAGCTCCCATCAAGGCGCGGATCCTTCCCCACATGCCAGGCATCCAGCAACACCCCCATGCGTCGAACCAAAAACCTGTAAACGGAGTTACTTACCTGTTCACAGGGGCTCCTGCACATGTAATGATCGTGCACAGCACCGCGGCAGCAAGCGCGAGAATTCTCGGGGCCATGATTTTTACGTAGATTTGGGATGCCCGGCGCCAGATGGACACACAAGCTCGACACAAGCACGCTTTGCCAAAAACCCAACCCTTTGCTCTGCGAAATATGCGGAGCTATGTGGCCTCTGAGACATGTATCTTGCCATGCGGAAAGGATGTACTTGACGCCTGGCTGCTCTTGGAGAGTATATCGGAAGGTGAGATGCGCGGATTTGCGGCGGATCGTCCCGAGAGAAAAGGCTGACCGGCTCCAGGTGCTAGGTGGGGGGCAAGCAACACGTCAACAGCAGTCGGGAGCTGTAGGTAGTCCTTCAATGATTCTCACGGGGAAGTCTCTCCTGCGTGTCTAACAGCTTCCTTGACCACTCAAATTTAAGATTTGGAACCTTGTCCATTAACAGTACTAACACTTGTGATGCAGAGCTATGGCCTTGAACCCTACAGCCAATCAAAAAAGATGGAGTTCGCATTTTGAAACGAAAACTGAGAACTTGGGTTTATTGCGTAGATGCTGTTTTGGTGCATGAGGATGTGAGTGGAGATGCAGCGCCTCCACTCATGCATTGAGGGATCAGTCCTGGAGACGGAGGGACTTGTAGGATATCTCGTGCGCATGAAGTGCGGGGACGGCGGAGGTCCTCTTTAGTTCACGGGAGACGTTGATGCGTGAAGAGATGAGCGTCTGTGTGACATGAATGTATACGACAAGGTATGATGATGGTGCCTGGCCAACGGTCAGATATTCGGTCTGGATAAATAGGATTACGGCCAGGAGGGAGCAATGATGGGCGAATGACTGCCTTTTTTACGGCCGCAACCGACATTGGATTCTGATGCACACTTGAGGCTGTGCACGAAAACACCCTCACGTCGCTCACCAGATTGGGAGCCCCCACTGAAGCACGTCCGAGCGCCCGCTCCATGTCCTCGGTGGATGCCAGGGCGAGGCCGACGGAGGGGTCTTGGCGGTAGCGATAATTGTAGCAAATCGGGATGTAGACCAGGATCGCGATGCACTGCGGAGGTAAAGAAACGGGATAGGGCCACGTGCCACAAAGGCTTGAGGGGGGGTCAACCACCCTAGTCATCCCAGCGGCCATGTGAACACTCCGAGAATGGAAAACATCTCACTGCATGCAGCCCTTGGTTCCCCTGGCACGGGTCTGCAGTCCCCCACTCTCCTACACACCCAGCCTCACCATGAGCACGGCCAGCATTGCAAAGAAGTAGTCCAGGTGGCCTTGGTTGAGATTGTTCTGTGGGGCAGAGAAAGCACGCCAGGCTGAGGTGCTCATACGTTTTAGCCTACTACGTCTGGGGATCGGACCCCCTCAGGAGGCCCTCCAACTCCCTTCCCAAACTCACCGCCACCCAGCCGGGAGCTCCATTCTTGGTGGTGATGGCGGCAACGATGGCAACCTGCGCATGTTCACGGTGGCGGCCTGACATTGACAGGGGAATGTGGGCAAGAGGCACCCAGGCCGCAGTGGAGCCGTCCTTTGCTAGCACAAGCTAGCACCCAGAGCCTGTCAGCCAGAGCCCTGTTTCTCTGCAGCCCCAGGACTGTCGCTGCCTCGCCCCCTAGTGCGCTTCCCTGCCCTCACCAGGCCTGTGGAGAGGTAGCTTCCCATCGCTATGGCGATGAGGTTGAGTGCAGAGGCCATGGAGCGCATCGCCTCTGGGGACTGGGAGTAGAAGAACTCCAGCGCCCCGACGGAGGCAAACACCTCGGCCATGCCCACGGCAAAGTACTGCGGGACCTGCCACCACACCGACATGGGCACCGAGTTGTCGCTGGGATCCACGTTCTGGTGCATCAGAGGAGAAGGGATGGGGAAGGTGGGTGCAGTGGGAGGGGGTGTGGTGGGTGTGCACAAGTTCAGCATGAGGACGTGCGGCAGGACGTCAGGGATGTACGACTTGCATATGGTGGGCGAGCGGGCTTGGAGGCCTTGGCGGCCGCGCTTGTCCCACGCCGTGAGCAGGCCAAGATGCAGCCAGGATTCAGGGATTGCATGCGGTGACGGTGTCGTGCACGCGCCTGTGCCCACCCCCTCCTACGCGGTGCAGCAGGGGTGTTGTGGCCCTGACGGAGGAGCATGCCCTGTGGCCCGCGCCACCGTCTCTCGACCCTCTTTCAACCTGCCTGATTCCCCCACAAACACCCGCTGACACCGACCTGCAGGTTGTTGGCCCTGACCGCCTTGAGGCGGAACACCTCCACCAGCGCGGCAAAGACCATGGACATGATGGCGATGCCAAAGCCGATGCCCATGCGCAGGAGGCGGGAGATGGGGCGGCCGATGCGCTTGAAGTAGGGGTCGATGACCAGGTCGTAGATGGGGACCCAGATGAGGACAGAGATGATGTCCAGGGTGGAGATGATGGCGGGGGGCACCGCCCAGGAGCCCAGGTGGCGGTTCATGGCGGAGCCTTGCAGGACGAAGAGGGTGGACATCTGGGCATAGGTTGCAAAGTAGACGGCGAGGATCACCATGAAAGGGATCAGGCGCACCACACACTTCAGCTCCTCCACCTCCGTGACGGTCACCAGCCAGCGATCCCGCACGCCGGGGGCCTCAGTCGCCGTGGCCGCCTTGTCCAGCCAACGGAAGTCGGGCGTGTGGATCATCTTGGTCTGGCCAGGGACGATGCTCATGGGCGTGTCCACCTCGTGCAGCTGGGAAAGGGGGGGGGAGGAGAGCGGACGGGGTTGGGAAGACAGGAGGATCGGATAGGGGGAGACGTGATGCAGGGTGGGGTGGAGCATTGGGATGGACGTTTGCCGGCAGTCTCAGGAAGCCAGCGATTAGCAAATGTCCCGAGGCTTCCTGGGCAAGGCAAGGGGCCTGAGCTGACCTCTCCCCCGGCGAGTGTTTCCCCCACCCCCTCCCACCCACTGGAGCCGGGACTGCCAGGGCCGCCACCCACCAGGCGGGCATCGTCGGGCACTTCGGCCCTCCAATGGGCGCAGGCGCCGGCGAGGACGCGGAACCAGCGGTTGATGGGGCTGCCACCGGGCGGGCAGCGACGGTACCACCTGGACCCTGATACGAAGCAGATGATGGCGATGGCAAAGGAGATGGTAGGGATCAGGAAGCCGATCATCCAGCTGCGTGGCGGTCAGGGGAGTGCCGGGGTGGGGCACTGGAGCCCTGGGCGGTCAGCCATGCGTTAGGGGGAGGGCTGCGCTGCACCCGAGCGGTGAGCAGTGCCACGGCACCCCACCCACCACGCTCCATGCCCCTGCGTGTGAGGGCCGCAGGCCCCCTCCTCTCTGACCCCAGGGCGGCCAGGGTTGCAAAGTGAGCTTGCCCCGCCAGGTGAACCCTCCGCCGGCCCACCTGACGTCGGTCTGGACCCAGACCACGAGCGTGCTGGCAAAAAAGCTGCCGATGTTGACAAAGGCGTAGAACCAGTTGTAGAAGCGTGGGATGAGGGCCAGCTCCTCGGGGTTGCCCTCGTCAAACTGGTCGGCGCCAAACACGGAGACGCAGGGCTTGATGCCGCCCGTGCCGATGGAGACCAGATACTGGGGGAGGGGGGGACAGAGGTTTGGTTGAGGGGTTCGTCGGCGCAGGGGCCCCTGCGCCCTGCATCACAGCTCAACCTGCCATGGCTACGCTCCTTGCATCAGCCCCTGCTCCCTCAACGCCCACCATGAAGGCCCAGAAGAAGCCCGTCTGGTAGCTGCTGGGGGCCACGCCGTCAGGTGGGGTGAGAGAGGGGACCCCCGCGGACACCGTCAGGCCGACCAGGCCCTGCAGGAAGGGAAGAATGAGGGTGGGAAGCTTTTGCTCCGTCTGAAGCCGGCCCGGCTCTGGTGAGGGGCATCAGTGACGAGAACACTTCGGGATAAGGCTCCCGCTCACCCGCCCTCTCCTCGCAGGGGTACCTCGGCCACTTGGGGCGCCCACTGTCCATTGCGTGCCTCTTTCACCTCCCACCACAAAGCCTGCCATGCGCTTTGCTCACCACCAGGTACACGCTGCAGAAACTCAGGATCGTCCAGAAGCGTCCCGTGTAGGTGTCTGCCAGCCAGGCACCGACGATGGGCGTCACATAGCAGGTACCAATCCAGGCGGAGACCTGGCAGCGGTTGGAGGGAAGGCGAATAGTGGGGCAGGGGCGGCTCCGAGGTCTGGCAGCCATTCGTGGGTAGCGAGGCCAGTGCCAGCACATCCTCCCTGTGTCTGCAGGTGGTGTACATCTCAGAATACCATCTCACTCCAGAGAGCCTTATTGCTCCAAAATTCACCACAGCAGCGTCACACTCACCGATTGAGCTGCGTCAGAGTTGGTCAGGTTGAGCTTGTTGGTGAGATACATGACGATGTTCGTCTGCACAGTGGGTGGGGAGGGGCGTGTGACGCGGTTGGCTCTAATCCTGTGGGAAGGTTGGGGAATTGACCAGTGGCACACCCTTCTACACGACCCCAGGCTGTGCGCCCCTCAGCATGGCCCGCACCGATAGTCCATAGTATGCCAGGCGCTCACACAGCTCGGTACCTGCAATGAGGGTATGGGATGCGTTGGGAGGGAGAAAGTTTTGGGAGGGCCTTCTTGGAAGTACTGCCAGAAGGCCATGCAGTGCGCCCACACCCAGGACACATCCCGTCACGCACACAGAATGGGCGTTGCGCGCAGGAATGCTTTCCCAAAACGCTTATTGGGGGTTGCATCGGTCCCCTCCTCCGTTTTTACGTCCTGGAGATCCTGGTCTTTGGTCTCGGACCCTGACTCGGGGCCGCGCGCCATGTCCGCGGTGATGGGCTGCGGCTCCTCCGTAGGCTTGGATTTTGCCTCCATCCCTGATTATATGTATACAAAGAAGCGAATTATGCAAAAGGTGCCCAAATCGACGCAAAGCGGCGGTGTTGCGGGCTGGGGTTGGTCCTAGGTAAAGGGGCGACAGGGCAATCGCTCCTGATGAACTTCTCCACCCGACTAATTCAGCCGAAAAGGGCACAACGATGCCTTTTGAGATTGGAGTCTCTTGTAAGCGCATGCATAATCGGAAAGGCTGCTGTTTTGTGGTACAAAGGGACGCTGGTGAGGACGTCAGCAGCGCGCGGTTGCCGCAGCCGGAACGGGGTCCAACCCGGAGCTCGATGTGATATACATTGGCGTCTAAGCCAGCAGGGCCACCGTTTTGGGGGAAAGGTAAAAATAACAATCACACTCCCGAGTAGATCTCCCAATGGTCATTCTGGTGTGCCTGTTTCACTTACTGTATACGACAAGCAGCGAGTGTGCCATCAACCCGAAACTGTCGGCCACGTGGCGCTTGCGTGCGAGCTCGCGGACTTGTCCCCTGATCCCGAATTTCAGGCACCCGTATACCCAGTTTCACAGCTGGAAGACTTCTAGAAAGCGGCCAAGGGGAGTTTCGTAATCAATGTTTGCCTTTTCGGCCATCGATGGATCTTGGTTAGGATCGGCGGGACGTGTCACCTCTTGACAGTCTGTCTGTTCGTACTCGACAAAGCAGAAGAATGGACTTGCCGATTGAACATCCTAGCCACGATTCGATACACGATGATATTGAGGGCGAGAAACTCGGCGACCCGACTTGTCCAACACCGGCAAGATCGAGGATTCGACGTTTGGGTTGCGAGGGTTTTCGCTTCCCATACTCTGACTCCGAGGGCGATTAAAAGCGCGGCAGTGTCCCTTGGGATGCCTTTTCGAGTTTGGAAGCGAACATAATTATTTTCTACAGATCATATTTGGCAAGTGTCTGTCAATTCGTTTTCAAGGAAGCTCACAATACGCTGCCATGTCGATTGCGTCCGCCAACTTTCAGGCACGAAAAGAGGAAGGAGGTGGTTCCTCACCTAACAGCTTGAGGACTCTGATCTCCGATCCCCCCATCGACAAGACTCCAGCAAACGACGCAATGCAGCCAGAACTATCCTTAGAGGATGTTCTTGAAGTGCTGGAGGGTCTGATGGACAGGCGAATGAGGCCCGAGGAGCGTCTAGTGATCGCCAGGTCTGACAGGGTCAACAAATAGCGCAATCAATCATTCAAGCAGCCCACCCACCAGTGCGTGCATCCTGTCAAGAAGCACCACGCCTGCGACATGGGTCACAACCTCGTTCATCCCTCTGACTGCAACTGACAGGGTGTTGGGAGGACGGAGATTCGACTCTGTTGACTCTGTCATCAGGCTCCTGGCAGGCATGCTGGCGGTGATCCCCGCAGCAGATGGCACTGATCTCTACCAAACGACAGCCAGCAGGATTGGCGCCAAAGCTGCGTGCCACCCCCAGGGTCAGGCAGTGACAAGTGGCACCGTGCAGGGCATCCGCCTGCCGCGCAGGGGCACGGATATCACTGTTGGAGGACAGGGCAACAGCTTGGCCACATACTTTGGGCTCTACATGTAGGCGTTGCTGTGAGGGCAGAGTCAAGGGTAAGGCCTGTGTCCATCGTCCTTTGGCGGGGTCGCTGCAGACTCAGGGCATCCAGCCCGCAGTCCATCAGCGTCGGGAGTCCGCGCTGTGCATTGAATTGTGAGACCCATACGCGCCGACTGCAGAGCACGTAGTCACCAACGCAGCCCATGCCCTTCCTTCCCTGCTTGCTCCGTGTGTGCCTGAGAAGATGAACAGCAGCGTCAAAGCTGGGGGAGAAGGTGTAAGGCAAGTCAACTACTTCAAGTGATGTGCGTTCTGAAGGAGCAAGGCCAGGTAGATGGCCGTGACCGAGGCGGACAGAGCCCAGAAGACGACCCACGCGGGGACAGGCTGGTCTGACTCGGTCGTCTGCATGGCAGGGCAGCGGGAATCGGTTGTTGTTATGCCAGTGTCAAGGGCGAGTGATCATGATTCGGTGTGCGACCAGCACTCCTAGTCATCAAGCCCCTGGTCAATGCAGCACCTGCATGCACGCAATCACCTTGGGAAGCCGGGGTTCAGTGTCCCCTCCCTGCGGCCCAAGGCTGGCCTGCGCTGCTGCCGCACCCTCCTCCTTCGTGCCCTCACACTCCTGGTGCGGCCCTGCCATCAAGGGCATGGGAGGAGGTGCTCCCCCGTCTGCGTCAGCGGCAGGCCTGCCCGCAAGGGACGGCGCGGCACCGTCCAGCCCCGCCGCCGCCTCGGCAGCCGCCGCCTCCACCGGCATGCCGCTGCTCGGCGGCTCGCTCCCCGCGCCACGTCGCCGCGTTCCCTGCGGCACGCCGCCCTTGCCGCCCGCCGCAGGTGCGTCCGAGGACAGCCACCGCCGCCACCAGGGCAGGCGTCGCCGCGCCAGGCGCGCCAGCCGGCGATCCAGGTCCGAAGCGCTTGGCTCGAGGCGAGCCGGCAGCGCCGCGCCGCCGCTCTGCGTCAACCCCGCCTGCGCGTGGTGGGGCGACCGTGCCAGGAGAGCGTCGAGCGCCGCGCCGCGCGAACTCATCCCGTCCTCGGCGGCGCTGCCCACCCACACCCCGCTGACCTGGGAAGAGTGGAGAGCTTCGAACTCCGGCTCCCGCCCCGAGCTGTTGGCCTCCTCGTCCACACCTCGTCGGCCCGCGTCCGACCCCTCCGTCTCAACGCACCGCCCATCACCCCCCTCGCCGCCGGCCTGCATGCCGCGCGCGCCGGCCTGCGCCAGCGTGGTCTCCACCGCGCGGGCGGCGAAGCGTAGGGCCTGCACCGCCCCCGCCACGTCCCCCGCCAGCACCGCCTGCGTGGCCTCGCGCTCCGCGGAGGCCACCAGCTCCGCAGCCGCGCCCGTGGACCCCGCCGTGCCCGACCCGCCCAGCTCGTCGATCTCCTGGGTCAGGAGGCGCAGCGCCCCCCGCAGCTGCACCAGGTCCTCCACGCTGGAGGCCGCGTCGGCCAGCTGGCGCAGCCCGCGCGGCGACGGCGCGGAGTCGGGGGCGGAAACACTGCCGTTTTGCATCGAGCTGGGAAGTAGGTCGTCGGCGGGCCCGGCGTAAGCCGGCAGCGACGGGACGCCCCGAGGGTCGGGGCCTGGGCCCGGCGCCGCTGGGCGTTCTTTATCTGGAAGGGCACCGTCCTCGTCTGCAGACCCGTCGCTGGACTTCCCGCCGGCGCCGGGCCCAACGTCGGCCCTGGGGACGGCGGGCGTACTGCGGGTCTTGGTCTCCTTTGAGCCAGCGACAGCCTCGACCTCTTCATCCCCCGACCCACCCCCCGCCCGGCCCAGCACGGAGGCACCGCCCTGCGCCAGGCGCGCCGCGGCGCGGGCCGCAGCGGCCTGCATGATATGTGGTGGAGGTGGGGAGCTGTGTGTGTGTGCGTGTGTGTGGTGGTGGTGGTGGAGCCAAAGGAGGGGTACGGCGCAGGGCGACGCAGCCCCGCGCGGGCCCGCCCTGCGTTGTGAAGCATGTCTGAGCATCATCGGGGGGCGATGGGGAAAGCGAGACGACCCCACCGCCACCTTGGTCACCGCCACGGCGGTCATGGCGGCGGAGGCGGCGACGTGCGCCCTGGAGGAAGCGCTGGCCGCCGTCTTGACATCCACGATGTCCTGGGCGGAGGGCCCGGGCGGCAGGGCGGGCGACCCCGGCCGCCCACCCCCGCTCCGTGCCCCCGCGCGGTCGGAGCCCGGGTCGGCGCCATCCGCGGCCTCGCTCTCGTCGTGGAAGGGCGTGTACTCCATCTCCAGCAAGACCGCGCCCCCGCAGGGCTGGCCTACGATGAGTGCAAAGTCGGTGTGGGTTTTCTCTGTGGTTTTGAGAAGGGATTAGAAAGGCTGGCGCAGCCCTGGAAATCTAGTGCCGCACTGCAAAAACTCGACAACAGCATGTGTGGATCGTCGCCGGGGCGTCGCCTGGCCTGTCAGGCTCCAGAGACTGTGATGACTCAAAGCTGACTCATGCCCCCGAAGCCAAGCAGCGTCGGGGTGCTGGAGCGACCTGAACACCCTGGCCCTAAGCCCCGCACCCCCTCCCCTCTCCTCCCCTCTCCACCCCTCTCCACCCCTCGCAGGCAACATGCCTGTGGCGTCGGTCACCACGGGCAGCCAGGCCTTGAGCACCCCCTCGCTCGGCAGGCGGGCCAGGGGGAAGACCACCCTGCCCACCTCCGTCCTGCCCGTGATGGGCGAGTCGCGGACCACGATCTCCAGCACCTGCAGCGAGGCATTATGTGTGTGGGTTTGGGGGGGGGGGGGGGGGGGGGGGGAGGTGACCCCCCGCCCCGCGGCTGCCAGGCTGCCAGCCCCGAACATTAGTGCTTGCAGGTGGGAGTCAGTCCCTGCGGACCCTCATGGCCACTGCTTGTGGGAATTTCGGATCACTGCTTCACCGTATCTCCGCATGCTTTCATCGACATATCGATCAAGTACTGCATGTCCGCTCGGAAGGGAACACAGGTGCAATTTCAATGTGTGCCGGAGTAAGAACTGGGCGCGCGCAGATCACATCGACATGTGAAGACCGACAAGAAGGTGCAAATACGACATCGCCCAACGAATTTCTGTGCATGCTACGTGGTGAAACTGGAGATACGAGCGAAGACAAGAGCTCTGTGCAGAGCATGTCGGTTCCCAGAGGAGACCGCGAACACATACGCCTCTGCCAAGTGTGAAATTAGAGAGTGGTGACCGGCACAAGCCCTGATCGCCTGAGACGCTGTCGACATGCGTTGGGCGTATGCCCTTGGAGGCAGTCTGCTGGTCCTGGGCTTCCTCGCCGGCTTCGGGGTGGACAGGGTCGTGCAGGAAATTGACAGGCGCGTGGAGTCTGCCATCTCGGAGCAGGTCATCTGGCGCCCCGACTCCCCACCCAGCGTCCATGGTGCGTGGGGCTCATGCCTGGAGTGGGCACAGTGGCCTCTCTCCCGTCTTTCATGGTGCCCGTCATGCTTCTCTCTACCCTCCCTCCAAGGAAACCTAGCCTCCCACCATCCCTGCAGACCGGTATGCAGCCACCAATGCCTCGGTGCACGTACGCTACTACTTCTTCAGCATCACCAACATCGTCGACGTCCGCGCCGACGCAAAGCCCGTCCTGGTGAGGCCAGGGCCGGATCATTGTTAGCTTTGGCATGATTGGTGTTCGTGCGGACCCATGGATTATTGGTGCCAGGACGCCTTGACCCGCTCCTCAAGGGAGTCTAACGCAAGACCTACCGCCTACCCACCTCCTCCTTGTCTTACGATCTGTGTGGGAGA